GACGATTGTTTTAGTTAGTCTCTCTCTTTTTTTTCTGTCTGTCTCGGCTTCTGATATACAGACACATCAATCTTTTAAGACTATCAATGGAGATAATTACAGAAAAAAAAAGACAGAAAGTAGAAGAAAAAACTGAAGTGATTTATTTCATTGATTAGTAGCATTTAGTACGTCATCACATACAAATAAGAAATCGGTTCTATCAAAGTTTTACTTCAAATTTAGCGGAAAAACAAGCTGTGCACGCAATGTGTGACATAGAAAAAACTATTTAATTGTTCTTATATTCTTTCTCACACTCTTAGGCTTCTAATTTTACCTCAGAAAGAAAAAGAGAAACTCAATTTATTAAATAAAAGTTATACAAAATAAGTTCCCTTCCAAAAAAGAAAAAATAACCTTCACCATTCAAAGAGAATTCTCGTCTGGACTCATTTTTCCAAAGTGTTTTCTTTTGTAAAGAAAAAAACGACAAGACCTTTTCCTCTGTCTTCTCTTTCATACTACTTTTTTCTTCATAGTTATTTTTTATCGCTGAAAATTCTTTTTTTTTACTCTATTGCCCGTGTTGTTCTTCATTGCTTTCCTTTTGTCGATTTCCACGTTTGCATACATCTGCCAAGAAAATATTTTGTATGCAAGTATTTGAGATTTGTTAGAAGGCCATTGAGCTGTAAAGATAACACGTCGAGTAACAAAGGGTGCTCATAATAAGAATAAAAAAGAAAAAAGAATGCCTACGAGTTCTTGTTCAATAGACAAAACAATGTGTTCACTATCTACAAAACAAAAGAGCCTAGTTCCGGAGGCTGACTTCGACGCCATTAATTGTGTATACTTATTTAGATCAAACTCAACGATAACGAAAGAGTTCTGCTTTTTTTTTCTTTATTTCTCGTCGAGCTTTTATTTTCCTACCTATAGATCGTTATTTATTCGGTAACGAGAAGAAAGAAAAAAGAAAAATCACTATGAAGGAAACAGAAACTAGCCTCTTTTTCTGGATAAATTCACTAGTATATATGGATTGAATTTCAATGCACGCGTGCAAAACTTCAATCATGATTTAAGCATGCGAGCATAGAGACGACTATATAGTATAGACTAAAGAGGAATATAAGGAAATATAGAAAGAGGAAATAACTGTTATTACTTTGCAAATCGAGTTTTTTTTTCTGCTCTCTCAATTCAATCTCGTGTTTTCTCTGTCCGATCGATCCAAAACAGGAGGAAAAGAATATGAAATAGGACAGTTACTCAAATCAAAAATCGATCATGTTGATTGATCATCTATCTTTTTTCCATCAGCAATTGCGTGTTCAATTGTCGGGTGTGTGAGTACGTGCGATCAGTCGCTAATTAATCTTCGATAGAGATCATCGACATTAAAAAACATGATATGATGATAAATGAACGTAGAATCTAAGTCGTCAAATAACACAAAAAGAAAAAGAAAATTACCTAATAGTCACTAAACATGAATAGAAAGAAAGCAAAAAGAGAAAGATGTTGTCATCATCATTCTCTTTTCATATTCCTACTTGCTTACTGACGTATACAAAAAAGAAAAGAAAAAAGTATTGATCTCTACAAAGGATGGAATCAATAGTTGGATGAAGGAGAATAACTATTGAAGGTTAATCGTGCAAGAAGATATTTCAATTGGTTTTACAGGAATTTCCTTTTTGCTTAGATGAATGATTTATATTTTTGCATCATTCACTCTCGCGATATACTACTTGCATATAGATTTCAGAGTAATTAATCTTTCAATTCTCAAACGTAAAAAAACTCATCGTATACTCCTAACATTCAAAGATAAATAGTCGATAATGAATAAAAGTATATTGAATAAATTTGAACAGACTAGCAAAAAAGAAGAAGAAAAAAATTTTATTGCTTCTGAATTGGTAGGAAGATTTTGACAAAGCTGTTGCTTACATTCATTCTCAAGAATCACATTAACACATCGATTCTCAATCGAAACTTATGAGACTACATGTAAAATGTTCAAATTTCATCAGAAAGTTAACTCAAGTGCAAACCATCTGGCTGTTTTTCGCATGATGTCCGATCTGATGTCATAATCTTCTCTCCATATATGTATAAGTATGTGTGTATATGCTGTTCATTTTCAGAACAATATTTTTTAATCTTTAAAGGCTTCTATGATATCCTCATTTTTCAAGCAAAAGAAAATACAACAGGATTCTGACTGTACATGAAATAATAGTACAAACTATTTTGTTTAGTGTCTGTTGCAAATTTTGAGGTATCACTTACATGTAACATCTGTTCTACGCATGAACAGATGGAGGAAAAAAAAAGAAGAGAAAAAAAGAGGAGACGGAGAACAAACCATTTGATTACGAGGCATATAAAAAGAAGCCAATACAACATGATCAAGTAAGAAAAGAATAAATTCGTTTTTATGGTAATGTCATCATTGTGTTTAATATCAAATTATTTTCAAAACTAATAAACTCCAAAAGACAATTTCCATTCTTAACATTATTTTCTTATTTTACATTACTCGATGATTGAATTAATTTTGTTCGATACATCTGTTATGTTTGTCAGCTTTAAGAGACTTAGTAATCGATGTGTTTAGAAGAAAAAAAACGACAATGATGATAGTTATGAGAACAAAGATCAATTAATCTTCTCTGCAAGATGAGAGATATGTGGTTTTCTTCTTGAGTAAATTTATATCTTATACATATATATAAGGAAAGATACTTATGATTTCCTAAACAGTCAACATCTTGACCGTATGTATATATACATCAAAGAGAGTCGATCTATCTTGTTCTTTCTTTCTTACATTTATACATACCCTTACGTACATATGTTTGATGCTTGGACAATGAGAAAAAGATCGTACATCATTTCGCGACAGATAACAAATAATATGTAGTCTATATACAGAGCTTCAGAGAAAAAGAGAGACAGAGAGAGAGCTCAATAGTAGACGAGGATCAACTTGGTTGCTATCAATGTTCTTCTTTTTTGTTATTTTAATTTTTTTTTTTTATGGTAAATGCAGCTTGCTGAAAGGAATGTTTGAACAGTAGGGTGTAGACTATCACCACCCACCAATACAATATAGTAAAGTTAATCAACCAAACGAGACCTTTCACAATGATATTGACAACAATGCAATAGAGATGTGTCAATGTTTGATTATCGTCCATATACCTCATGAGATGAAAGTTGACGTCTAAAGTGTGTATATGACTGTAGAACGTGACAAGTAATAAAACATTCAAAAGAGAGTCAATTACTAAAATTATTGTTACAATTTATATTATTTTAAGGTAAAGACCTTCATACCGAATTATGATTGATTGACAACATAATGAGAAAAAAAAATCTGAAGTGTAAGTCTTTAAATAGATCGACGAACGGAATATCTGCGGTTGCAAGAGATAAAAATTTAGAAGAAAAATTTTCTAAGTATAAATTTAAATTTATTATTTATTTATGATATTCATTTCAGTTCGAATGGCTCGATCATTTTCTTCATTAATTAGCATTCTCAATATCATATATATTGATATAATCATTGAGAGGTGATAATTGTAATAGTCATATTATTATTGATAAAATTGATACAAACATGTTGTTAATATGATAAAGAACTATAGAAAATAGAAAAATGATGAGCTTAATATTCTTACCAAGGCTACTACTGTTCTATTATGCTGTAAGCATAATAATACTCATGGTGATTGATCGACATCGATCGTTTTTTGTCGAGCAATTATCAACACAATCTTATTACATAACTTATATATACATATCTCCACCTGTCTCTCTGTTGGCCGGAGGTCATAGTAGTTACTGACCTTGTTTGATTTTGTATCATAGATGACAAGAGACGTTATATGATATTAACCTTCATCTTAGAGTTACTTGTTCAGTTCAATACAACTTTAGCAATGACATTATTATTTATAGGTTTCTTCCTGCATTGTCCTAATATTTTTTTTTCCAAGAAAATGTATAACATTACTATTAAAAAGATGAGCATCATGTGTATAATTTAGTCATAATAGTTCGGACAACTATTCTTCTAATTGAAAACAGCGTCATTGTTATCAATAGATATTCATTATTTCTATTGGCAACAGCTCCTTTGTGTCATCAAAAAAGTTCAATGGACATTTGAACATATGTGTGAAGTCATGAACTCAATTGATCAATAGGACGACAATTGTTGCTGTTTATAGCTTATGGAAATACACGTATGAAATGACATAATCGTTATTGTGATGCCACGCGTGCATCATTAAACACGTCTAGGGTTGAGTGCGTGCATGCATTCATATTTCTATTATTCTTCAATTAGAGATACATACACATTAAATCTTATCATCTTCTTTTAGAATTCCAATAACTAACTATCCAGAAAAAAGGCCAAATTCTAAAAATAGAATAACTTTTATTTTTCTTACCTTATCGATCATATATTGATAATATAAAAGTATATATTCCCAAATGATATTATCAATAAAAGCAAAAAAAAAGCAAAAAAGAATTGTTTTCACTCCCTGTAGAAATCAAACATATAAACATAGTCATATTTGACAGGACATTAAGCAACAAAGTACAAAATCATATTTCTAATATTTTCGTTATACAAGTATCTATTCATTATTAAAAAAAAAAAGTAAAAAGTACAAGTAAAACATGATTTGCATGAAAGAAAAAATTCGTGAGTTTGCATAAACCTTTACAGACGACGACTATGATGATGATTGTGCTAATACTAACTAAAGGTCATTCATCATCATTGTAATCGTCAAATATGTGCATATACATATACATGTATATGATTATGCAACACAATAAAGAAAAACTATACAAAAGAAAACTTAAAAAATCAGTGATTCAAAATATATGTACAATAAAAAATTGTGAGACTATTAAAAAAAAACAACATTTGAGTAAAAATCAAAAAATTTAATTCTATGGAATGTTCAATCTAGGAAAAACAACTAAAAATTTAAATCACATTCATCAATCAATAATAATGGTTGATATTGCTCGTTGATAGCATTCGTTGATAATTGATCGTTACTATCATTAAAGAGAAGATTAGCATAAGTTTTGACTGGAATGTAACGTTGCTGTTTGACAGAAGCTACTGATATTGGACCAGATGATCCTGCTAACGATAGCTGAGAATTCGAATGTAAATAAGAAAAAAAAGATTTATCTAAAAGAATGAAAGGAACAAAAAAAGAACATGTTGATGATAGACATTTCTTTTTTTTTTCTTACCATTTATATCCATTGATTGTATATTATTCGATAATGTATTTGTTTTTAAATAATTAATTAAAATTAAACCACATACTGTTGTAGAAAATCCAACAAGACATGCAATAATATCAACTAATGTTAATAAACGCCATTCATGAAAAAGTATACCTGATGTAATAAGAACACAAGTTGTAAATAGAACATAATACACAGTTGTTACAATTGGTGTGACAAACAGATCTAAAGCTTTATTCAGATAAATCATTTGTATAAGAATACAAATAATAATTGCAAGTGCACATGAAAATGTTAACCATATTGAATATGAATATTCATGAGTAAAAAATTCTTTTAAACCAACACCAAGACCTTTACATGCTGTAACAGTAAAAGCACCCAAAAGAGAACAAATCATTACATATATATAAACATATTTTGAACCAAAACGTGGTCCATAATATATAATTAAACATAAAATAATAATAAATATTATAAATGAAAAGAAAATAAATTCTAAAGAAAATTTAAATGAGAATTAAAAATTTAATTATATATTTCACAAATTTTTCATACCTAATGCTGAAATTTTACGAGCAAAATCAAATAATGAATTAACTTCACTCTCTTTTGGTGCATGAATAATAATAACAATTGAACCGAATATAGTAAGAAGACAACCAATTTTACCAAGAGTATTTAAATTTTCATTCAAATATCGAACAGCCATTAAAGCACTATTATATATAAATAGAAATTAATAATAATCAAAAAAAAAAAAACAAGAGTAACTATTAAATATATACCTAACTAAAACTGACAATGCACCAAGTGGTGTAACAATTGATGCTGGAGCAAATCCATAAGCTGCAAAATTACATAATTCTCCAAGTCCCATAGTTGCTAATCCAGCCCACCATTGAAGTTCATATAGATATCCAAATCCACCTGAGCCTATTGAAAATCTTTTATTTTTAAAATAAAAGACATAAATTTTGTTTGATGTACAAACCTGCTCGAATAGATCCATTATAATTCGTTAAATTAAGTAAACCTTTTTTTTTTAAAATAAAACTTGAACCAATAAATAAACTTGACAAAAGTGCTAAGAAAATTCCAACAAAGAATTGTTTTGAAGTTACAGAATGAAATGGCACACTCAAAACTGTCGTTGTTATTATTTGTTGTAAATTATTTGTATCATCTATATTAAAGATTTATGTATTTTTTAAATAAGAAAAAAAAAAGTCATTTACTTGTTATGTCTGTCATGATATGTCTCAAATTTTTGCATCTAAAAACAAAAAACAACTTTACATAAATTTTTCATGAAATTTTACTGCGAGAATAAAAAAAAACAAACGTACTTCTTTTTTTTTCTCAATCACTTAAAAACAAAATACAGAACGAGTAATAAATATATTTAATCCAGAAAAGGGACGATCATCACCTGATGTCTGATTTCTTTCTTCACTTTATTTTTTTTTGTCGTCTTTCATATCAAAATGGGAAAAAAAAACAGCGCGCGTTAAGTTACTACTTCATGATCACCCCATCACCTAATGAAAAAATAATCCATAAGAACACATTCATACATGCAAAATGTCAGACAAAAACAAAAACATAATTAATAAATGAAAGAAGATAGTTGTATGTCTTACAAAAGAAAATCGTTTCTTTTTTATTTGTTTTTCTAGAGTAGCAAGAATAAAAATAAGAAAGAAAAACATTATCTCAATATGAGATAGAGAAAGAGAGAGAAGAAGAAAAAATAATAATAATAATTCCTGTTTCCAAAGAAGCCAAAACTGTTTAATTTGTTGTTGTTGTTGTTCTTGTTATTGATCTAATATGATCAGGTAATAAATTATTTTTATATCTATGCCACATTTTAATAAAAAGTTCTTCTAAATGTTGTGTATATAATGCTGTATTAAATAATGGACTTGTTAAACGACGTGACCAAACTTTAGCACGAATTGATTTTAAATAAACCGGATCATTACCTAGACGTACAGCTATATTTTCATAATCATCATATGTTTCAGCAACTAATTCAGGACAACCAAGAGTATGTAATAATGATGCACCAACACGCGATGCTAATGTTTCAAATGGAAGTGACACCATTGGTGTACCTATTTTAATATATTAAAAATAAAATTAATTATAGTGAAATAATATAAAACAAAAAAAAATCAAGAAAACTAAACTAACCTGCCCAAAGAACATCCATGCCAGTTGTATGACCATTACATAAAGGTGTATCAAGACAAACATCAGCTAATTGTCCACGTCGAACATGTTCTTCTTTTGGTGCAACATTTGAAAAAATTAATCTTGATGAATCGATTCCATATAATTTTGCTGTTTGTATTAAATTTTCTTCACCCGCTGATGGAAACCGAAGAAGCCAAAGTACACTATTTGCTACACGTTTTAATATCTAAATAAAGCAAAAGAATACAAAAAAAAAAAAAAGAAATATCATTTAAAACTTACATTACACCAACAACGCATTGTGGTTGGATCAATTTTATATAATTGATTAAAATTACAATAAACAACAGCATTTTCTGGTAAACCATATTGTGTACGTGTTGTTAATAAAACTGTTTGAGGAACTTCTTCACCTGTTGCTGCACGACAACTTGTCTATTTATTGAAACGAGAGAAAAAAACAAATTATTTATCATAGAAAATAAAAATAAAAAAGAAGGTCATCTTCCCAAATATTTACCTGTAATGTTGTTGTACCGTTTTGTGCAACTATACCATTTATACTAACTTCATTATGTCCTTGTTGTAATAATTGATGGACAACAGTTGCCTGTGGTAATTCAACTAATGATGTAATTACTTCTTCTTTACATTTTTTAGCATTTGTTTCACCATTATCTTCATCATCGGTAGCTAATACTTTAACTGTTATTGTCTAGAATGTAAAAAAAGAATATTCTTTTCTTGTTTTCTTTCTAAGATAATTTAAACAAAAAAAAAATTTCTTTACCTTAACATCACTGCGTTCAAGTATTGGTTTTAAATTTGTAGCATTAACAATTGATCGATTATCAACTGTTGTCATTATATTACTGTTATTATCTTGTTGACTTTCAACAATAACTGCTTTTTCAGTCATATGACGAAACATATTTGCATGATCACCAATAAAAAATGTATATGGCATATATGCAAGTTTTTCAGAATATTGAGATGATAATGATAATGGAGATGTTATTTCATCTGTTATTAAATAATCCATAAATGGTGCACCGGATGTATTTGGATAACCAAGCCACATAACTTGTATTGGTGCTGGACGAAGGGCAAAAACTTCATTACGTGCACCACGTGTATAACCATTGAGATTAACTAATATATGAATTCCATCCGAATGAATACGATCGGCCTAATGAAATAAAATAGATATTTAATATAATATGATATTTTATTATGTGAGTCAGAGATGAAACCAATCTGGATTTTTCACGACTGGTGCCGGTATCAGTCTGAGTAGATCAGATCGAACCGAAGCAGCCAGTCTACCGATGACCAGTCGGTTCCATCTTGAAAGTGAGTGTTCTAAATATGGATTACTCAATAGAAAATAAGAAGAAATTTGAAATTGCATGATTTAACTGTAATAATTTATGGCAAAATCATGAATAAACTTTAAATTTAATACGATCACCTTTGGGACTACCATTTGTTGTCTACCTGAGATTCATACAGAACTTAATTAATAAAGTACATGAAGCTGTTACTAGTTTATTATGAATATGTGAAGACTTAGTTTCAAGAAGAACAGATAGAAAAGCAGTTAGTTTAATTTATATTTATCTAGCCTTTTTTGATGTTCTTATCATTATCTATATTCGAGGCATTTGAAATCATACATCACTATTCAATATTCACATATACTTTGAACTATTTTCTACATAAAATGAACAATTGCATATAATCGACTGATGTATCAGACCTATCAACAGGCCACTTTTTTCCAGTCTGGCCTACAGGACAAAGTAGGACGATTGATGTGTTCGGTTTTTTAAATCTACTAACTTCAATAATCATATTAAATGTATCCTTCGAATTTCAGTTATATACTTCATTTATTTTCATAAAGATAGTATAATGATAAGTTCTCGTACGAAATAGTGAATTAAAACAAAAAGATAAATTATCGAAAATATTTTTTATATAAGGAACACTCAATTTATCGAAATATTTTCGAATATATCAGTACTGTTTCATATAATCGGAAAAAAATGTAATTATAATAGAAAAACAATATATGATTAGGCATACAACAAAGAGGTAAAAGGATGTGAATGAGTGTGCGTGACGGAATGATCCGCATCCTCACAAAATCATGAGCTTATGAAACCATTTAAAATTTCGAGTTATACTAGGGAAAATAATATTACATCACACACAGGTCAACAACGTTGGTCTGGTATACTAACGTAGTTCAATACTAAGATAATGGTTCGATTAAATATTATGAATACATAACAATATCAATGAATCTCAGTGGGGCCCGAACGAACTATGAGTAGTCAAGAAGCCTTTATATCAAAGGCGTCCCGAGGTCGTCCCCGCTCGAGCGGAACACCTCTGATTTACATATACTTCAGGATGGTCTGCAAACATAAATAATAGTTGAGCATAATTGAAAAATAGTATCAGTATAGTCTACTAATCTTTACTAAAGCATATCTAGATGATGAACATTTTCATATAATATTGTGTACTGACAATAGTATGATAATATTGACTAGAATCCGTGCGAACCGCAGGTAGTCGTGTGAGGGCTAACAATATTCTTTGAAAATTATAGAATGACCGCCTATTCAAACTTTATGAAAAATCAATTTGAGTATATTGAAAACTTTCGAGTATTTGTTCTATCAAAATATTTGTCTTTCGAACTTTTGAAAATCTATTTAATAATCTTACCGCTTGTCCATTACATGTAATTAATGATAAATCAATAAAATGTTCTGCTTCACGTTCAATTTTTGCTCGAAATGTAGTGCCATCATCGGCACTTAATGAATAACAAAAAATTTCTACACGTTCACGATTATGTAAACCAGGTATACTTTGCATTAAATGTGCTGTTGGATGATTACAAAAATCTGAACTAACATAACCTATACGTAAACGACCATTTGTTGTACTTAAATCTTGTGAATAACTAAATAATTTTTTATGTAATAGTTGAATCTAGAGAAAAGAAAAATAAAGATCAATGAATTCTTCTTCTTTTTTTTTTTTGATTTATAAACAAAACATTATATTTACTCGTTCAAGACATAAAAGAGCATGTCGTGTAGCAATATTTCGTCGTTGTTCACCAGTTAATGGATAAAGCATACTATGATGTGGATGTACACTTGGTAAACGATTTTTCTCAAGTTGTTCTTGTATAATTGAACATATTTTATTTAAACGACTATCATAATCATTCCAATCACAAATAATCTTAAATAAATAATTTTTAAAAAAAAACAAGGAAAATCTTTGTTGTTTTTTCTTTTACATACTTGTAAACAATGAGCTAAATTACAAAAAGCATCGGGAAAATCTGGTTTTAATTTTAAAGCTGTTTTATATGCTTGTATAGCATCAATAATATTTCCAGTATCTTTATGTATTGAAGCTAAATTTGAATGTGCATCAGCAAATGATGGATTTATTTGTATAGCACGTGTATAACATTGTAATGCACCTGGTATATCACCAATTTCTTTTAATGTATTACCAAGATTTGAATGTGCATCAGCAAACATTGGTTGAATACGTATAGCTTCTTTATAATGATTTAATGCATCATGTAGACGACCTTGTTGTTGTAAAACTGATGCTAAATTTGAATGTGCAGCAGCAAAACTTGGTAAAATATCTAATGCACGTTTATATAAATTAATTGCTTCATCTATTTGACCTTGTTCACGACGAATATTTGCTAAATTATTAAGAGAATCAGCATGTGTTGGACATTGACTAAGTGCTGTTTTATAACATTCTTCAGCTTCAGAGACCTATAACGAAAAAAGCAAAACAAATATTAATTATTAAAAAGTTTTTTTCTTTAGAAAAATCGATCGAGTCTATCATCAGCTATATATTACAGAAGCATTATTTCATTGTAAAGTGAACGTTTGATTTAAATACTGAATAAAAAAAGATTTAAATTATACTTTATATAAGAACGGACAAAGTGAATCCGTGTGTGAATCTAGGATTTATTTTTTCCTATTTGATTAATGATTCTAAGATGCTAATAATATATCGTAATCAACAACGAACATCTGTAGAAATTAACATTTTATTATTAATTTACGATTACGCAAAACATTATCTGAACGACTGTAAAATTTTTACTTTGTAATCTGTTCTATAATAGAATCACGAAATAGAGATGTACAGAGACAATTTTAGACTCGGTCTCGATGACGGGACCAAAATTTGAAAGTTTGTCGAGATTGAGACTACGAGAAAAAGTTATCCCAACCGGAACTAGTTTAATATTCTATGATTGTAAACGAATTTTCTTATAAATCTAGAACACTTCTCTTTAGTCCAGGACTCGATAAACTACAATCACCCAGACTGCCAGATTTACTGAGACTATGAGCAAGGGCAAAACCTAAAAAACATGGTCCCACGCATCTGTAATCATGGCTCTATACTATTAACATAAATTGTAGAAAAGTTTCCTGTGAAGCCAATATTCAGATACTTCTCTTTTGAATCATTACATTTATCCGTGTTTGTTGTTATTTGACAATCTAAGTTTTATTATTCTTCTCACTTTTGATTATTTTTTATTATAATGATCTCTTATTCACTTAATCATAATCCATTATTGTTGCAGTATAGTTTTAGCATTTCTGTCGGTCAATAATAATGAACAAAGAAACTCTCATGGATTGAGTAAACTCATCAATAATCTGTTTTATTGAAAAATACATTGGATAGGCTTACTCTCGTAGGTAGGACAGTGACATTTTTCTTCTAGTTGAATGAATAATCACATCATATTTATTTTTACTCAATCATTTATCTTGAACTTTAGTTTTTAAAATTTTGTAGATTCTTTTTTTTTTTTATAATATTTGATGTCTAAAAATTTTAGTATAATTTATTCATTGAGTTGAAATTGATCATGAACACCGAAGAAAAAATATTGTTATTAAAATAATTAATGGTGCTGTAGTAAAAAAACAAAGCGTTTTCAAAATGAATTTCAATCAACAACTGAAATTAGTTGACAATTATTGTTGTACTTATCAACATCGATTAATTAATTAATTATCGAGTTATCAAATAAAAATCGGTATACATGGGCGGCGCATCAGATGCTAAAAAGGATACTAATTACTTCTCCTTAAAAACAAAAGCTTGAAGAAGCAATAGGAACTTATAGCTTCCCCACAATTTCCACGCCTCCTATGTATATTAGATTAAATCTGTCTCACCGAACATACATATATTCAATATGACTCTATGATTAATATAGAAGGATTGACCCATAGTCTCATGATTTTGATTTATTGCTACCCTGATAAATGTATAACTCGATTATATACATCTAATATGTAATTATTTAATTAATACATAATGGATATTTTGAACTCTCTCCTTCCAAAGTTAGCAATCTTTAAAATTAACCGCTAAATGAAGACCAATAACGTAATCAGAAGTCGGTTCCTATCCCTGGAAGACTGAATATCTGATATTTGACTATTTTAATCAAAAGAATTGAAGTCCGATTAACCAACATTCAACGGGTCAAACGCAATGACTGATCTTCTTTGCTATTTGTGGCCAATAAAAGTAGGTTTACCATTCGACATTCGTTGTTTGTTTTCTTTTTAAGAAAATTTACAATTTAGTCTTTTCTGTTAAATTTAAATCAAAATGTCAGAAAAAAAAGTAAACTTACCTATTATTTCGCAATCAGATAGGAGATCAACTAGCTGCTAACATCAAATAGTTAAATAAACAATCAGAAAAACAGCACCTTCATCTTCGCAGCGGATTGTTATGTCTATAATTTTTTCAAAAAATAATAATTATATTTAGATTTTAGACAACCTTTTACATGAATATCACACACGCAAAGAATACAATGAATCAATCAACGAAAGGTAATTGGCACATAAAACTTAGGTTTTTATTAAATTATTGCGAGTAAATCTTTTTCTTTTCAATCAAATATGAAGTTGAATTAATACTCAAATTTTACCGAACTGCCCACTATTGCGGATGGCAGAAATGGACGGATTTTAAATTTTATTATTTCCTATATAAAAGATTAATCATACGCCGCCCATGAAAAATGATAATCATATTACAAAAATTTTATATTATTATGATATTGTTTAAAATATAATTCGTTTCCTATTCATTTCAATATTTATAAAATTATGCGTTATCTATTGATTTTTCATTTATATGTCGTCAATAATTAATAATTTAAAATATCTCTCGTTTAATTATTATCTTTGAATCAATTTTTTTGTAAAAAAAAGAAATGTAGATGTTCATACCTTGCCTTGTACTTTCAATGCATTTGCTAAATTACAATAGGCATCTGGAAAATTTGATTGCAATTGAATAGCACGACGGTAAGTTTCAATGGCTAAATCAATTAGACTAAACAAAGAAAAATAGAAGAATTAAATTCAATAGCTATTAGTTTTTTAATTACCCTTGTTCATAATAAGCACAAGCAAGGTTACCATGAACAATTGGATGATTCGGTGAAAGATGTAAAGCACGTAAATAAGCTGTCACAGCGCTAGAAGATAAAACAAAAATTTCTTTTTTTGTATTCCAACAAAACGATAATCTACCGATCAAATATTCGTGCTTCTTTTAGAACATTGCCCAAATTAATATATCCATCGAGAAAATTCGGATCTAGAGCAACTGCCTATTTTGAAATAAAAGAAAAGATAATTACTATATACAATGGCGAAAAAAAGTTTACGGCAGTTGTATTTGTTAAATTTTTTTCTCGATCGAACTAGCCAGGAAGAATCTGCAAAAACATTTGAGTAGCGAAAAGGATTCTCTATGAAGACCGATAGACCTAAAAACCTTCAATAAAACTACTTGGATGAGGATGTCTAGAAACCCAAGACCACCAAAATCAATGTGCTAGCATCCATTTGAAGCTTTTTGGGAATGGTTTTATTTGGTAGATTAAATAACGTATGATGCAAAAGTAATGATACCAAATGTCGATCCCTATTTTTCTTCGATACAAGGATGCTGAAAAACAACTATATTAACCAAATGATAGAGCTTTTTCTCCTCTTTCGAATTATATATAAATTATTTTTATAACACGTTCATAAACGACACAACGCAACTGAAAAGCGAAGTGCTCATTAAAAGAATCAATGCTTTTCATGGAATTCAGAAAAACGACACAAAAATGTTGATCCCTATATCTCTTTGATAACTCTTCGATAAACATGTTTTAAAAAAAATCTTTTTTTACCAGTTGATAGGAAATTTTCTTTTCTTTCAAACAGTATATGATTTATATTTGTCACACATTCGTAAATGAAATGACACGAGAGAAAACAGAAAAGAAGCACTTGCGTAATAAATATGTAATTTTTATATGAACTCGTCATAAACATCTCATGCTACAAAAACCGCATCACTTGTAGAGATTAACCAGGCTGATAAAACTGCGGCAAACCATTGACTTTTTTCTCCGGTTTTCATATCGTGCGATCTTGTTAGACAACAATTAATTCCATTTTTTGTAGACTCATGAAAAGACCTTGGAAAATGACAGTTAATCATAATCAACTGTCATCTACAAGAAGTTTCTGATGAATTTATATAAAAATTACAAATTTGTTTCGCAAATGTTTCTCTTTCTTCTCGTCTCATTTTACTTATCAATGTGAGACAAGTATGAATCATATACTGTTCGAAAGAGGAGAAAAACCTCTATCGTTTAGTTAAAAAAAGTTCTTTTTTTCCAGCGTCCTTGTATTGAAGAGAAATAGAGATCGACATTTTGTACCGTCAATTTTGCATCATACGTTAATTCTAAGCAAAATGAGATGTCCTCAACCTCTCCATGATCTTTCTTTATCAAATCGTATTTCATTGACAGAAAATCTAAGAAGCATTTTGTGAAACACATACGTTCTATTCTAATCTTTGATCTACTTCTTTATTGCATATCTGGAGAATTAAGTAAAAGGGTGATGAAGAAATGTGTTCCAAAATAGATAGAATAAAGCAATATTCTGTGAATAGCAACAGGAGTTGCATTGCGTTTCATATTTTAATCTCACAGAGATTGTGCTAACAGCATTTTCTTTTGTTGTTATGAAAAATTTCAATGATGTTGCAGTGTTTGACGCTTTCGGACTTTCTATAAATTGAATGTAATTCGATGAAGAGTTTGAAGACATCTCATTTTGTTTAGATTTATGTGCTCTATCTAGTAAAATCATTTTCAAGAAACCTCCAATGGATGCTAGAAAACCGGCGTTGAGGGTCTTGATTTTCTAGACATTCTCATTCAAGCAATTTTATTGGAGTTTTTTAGATTCACAAATTCTGATAGAGAATTTTTTAGCTACTTGAATGTTTTTTCAAATTCTTCCTAGCTATTACTATTGAAAAGAAAACTTAACAAATACAACTGTTCTAAACTTATATCCGCCACTATATATAACACATCAATTGAAAGTAACCTTTTCAAAATGATGAATAGCTAACCAAATTTCGCCTTGACAATTAAATATACAACCCAAGTTACTCCATGCGACAGCAAATGTTGGTTGAGTTTTAATCACTTTTAAATAACATTCCTAAAATTGAAAAAAAAAGCACCAAATAGTTTTCGATATTAGGCTTTTTTTCAAATTTTAACATTTACTTTTGCTTCTTCTATATAACCAAGAGCTTTTAATAAATTTCCTAAGTCATTTCTAACACCATATAAATTCTATAAAAAAATTATTTAAAATTAAACTCAATAAATATTTAATTAAACATACTGGATTATATTGTAATGCTCTTAAATAAGCACTAACAGCACCTTCCATATCTGAATTTGCAATAAGAGCAGCCGCATAATTAATACTAAATTATAGAAAATCAAAAAATAATATATTTTTATCAATGAAACGTATAAAATAATCTACTTACTATCCATCAATAAAATCGGGTTTTAATTGTAATGCTTTAACATAATGATCAAGAGCTAAATTTAGAAAACCTTTTTCTTTATATGCATTAGCTAAATTTGAATGAGCTTCGGCTAGATGTGGATCAAGTTTTGTAGCTAAAAGACTATATTGCATTGATCTATGAAAGAAAAAAGATGATATAGAATAAAATAGATTATCGAATATATTTACTGATCATAACGACGCATTTGAAAATAAATTGAACTAAGTAATAATAATAAACTTGTATTATCCGGTTCTTGTTGATATAATTGAAGACAATATTGTTCAGCTCGTTCATAATTTCCATTTTGATAGTCACGATTTGCTCGATCAGCTATAACTATTAATATATAATAGAATATTAAAAAAAATATTTTCTCTAATGATTTGATGTATTTTTAATTTACTTTGAAAATCAGTTAAACTATTCGGAGAACGTGTATAATTGTGATGATGATGTCGTTGATTTGGGCTAGATAATAATGTTGATGTTGATGTTGTATTTTTCATAGGTGATGTATTAGATGGAGATTCTAATAAACAATAAGATTATTTTTATTTATATATAAATTTATAATATTTTTTACCAGTTTGATTATTCATTGTAAGTTGAGGAGTTTAATTTACACCTTAGTAATCATAACCAGAATAAGATCTATTGATTGATATTTTTATGTATATAATCTTCAAAACAAAAAGAAAACAACTATACTCAACCATTCGTAATTACCTTTGCTCTATCATACGATGAAGGAATAAAAATTATTAGTTGATTGTCAACAATATAGCAATTATAAGCAATGAGTATGGATGAATCATCTGTTAGACAGATGTCCCTACACGATTGAAGATTGTAAATAAATCAGATATAAGAGTTAATAAATAAATCTATTTCAAATTTTTTTTTGCGTATTTCTGTTAGATTTTGACACAAATATAAAGTACGAAACAAATAGTTGGCCTAATTTTCAAATATACATCTTCATGGATGTGTATCACTATTTTATTTCGTTCATGGAAATAGATGCACAATTCTAAAAACTTCCGAGTATGATAATACCCGTTAATTGTTGCAAATGATTGATTCACACCGAATATTATGAATCAGAAAATATTTTTCAATGAAAAGAATTGAATTTATGATAAAAATGAAAGAAAATTATTTTTATTCTTCATTAATTTGCATTCTATATCCTGACTAAAACTTCTCTTATACATATATAGGATGGTTTATAAAGAATTGTCCTTCTAGTATTTTTAAAATTTCTTCTCTATTATCCTCCTAATTGAAACAATTTTTTTAATCAAAAGATAGCGTTTGAAATTCTGCATAAAATGGTATATTTTATTTAACGAATATAGTCTCCTTCATTTTTTTAGATCAGATGTAATCGTACAGTAAAATCAAGTATAGAATGTAAGTTTTTTTTTCTTTTTCAAATTTTTTGACAGAACGTTTTATTACGACTATCAATGCTGTCTTTGTTGTTAGGTGGTCCCAATTCATAGCTTCAGTCAGTTCATTCCATAAGCTATAATCTGATGAACATAAATCAGGTGAATTTGGTGGCCAATGGTTCTTCGAAATGAATGCAGAAAAACTGTCAGCATACCATTTTTTATCTCAGATGATATGTGTGAGATCTAACACTTTTCTGTTAGAACTATGATTTCTTGATCTGCCTATACGAGAAACAGACAAGATATTTACACAATATGCGTTGTATATTTCTTCTTAGAATACTGATTGGAACAACTAATTTTCTAGTTGCCAACTGTTTCTTCTGAAGTAGGCGTCATTTTATCTTTGTATTATTGACTATTGTTCGAACTGTGCCTGAAAGGCAAGGAGAGTGCGACAAAATGAGAGAACCAATGTTGTTAATCATTTTCATCTATAAAATAATTGTTCGCTTTGCAATCACTCAACCTAAATCACGATAAATTTTTACTGGTCCATCACCATTTTCATATTTATTCTTTACAGCTTTCTATATGTCTTTACTTTTCATTGTTTTTCAAATATATCTAAGACAATTTTTGGATTAGATCGTATAAAGTTTTGTAAGGAATTTCAAGAACTATCATTTCATAAAAAATAGTATTTCAGTCAAGTAGATAATAGAGGAAGAATTTCAAAAATATCAAGAAGGCAATTTTTTATGGGCCATCCGTTAATTTTCAGGTGGTACAATTCTATTCTTAGTTCAATATCTATTTATGTCATTCATACTGAACGTCATTGATTTACAAACTGAATGTTGATTAGCGATGGTGTTGAGCGTGATGACTATTAGGTGAGATGGCCAGAAAAAGAAGCATAATTACTCATAGATGCTGAGACAGCTTATTAGCGATGATTCATTGCCAAAAGAATCGATATATCATATTAAAATTGCAAAGAATTACTCAGAAGTCGACAAAAACGAAGAAAATGATGATGTTGACATCAATATAGAAGCAGACGATACTAGTGAATAACTTTCATTAAACTTAAATATCGAGAACAGCACTTTTGAACTTAGTTATTAGAGTACTTGATGGATATTAAAAATGTTACTTTTCTGTATAGATTCGTTGTCATCTATGTAAAATATATAAATTTGAAAAGCCTATGTCACATATTTTCTTTTAACTTTTGCATAAATCCATTTCGATGATCTGTTAATAATGTTATACTATTATATAGTCTATAGTGTCTTCTAACAAACATCCAAATATAGTAGTAAAATAATAAAAATTCTTCTTAGAGAAAATAGTTATACAAACCTTTCCGTAGCCGAAACTTGAAATCAAAGAATTATAGTTCAAACAATATTTTCTGAAGTGTTAACAATTCTTTCATTAAACTTTTCAAGTTGATTATTGTATGTATATAAAATTTATTCAGTTCGATTGTTAACTGATTTCTACTAGTAAAGAAAAGTTTACATTTCGAGTTTCATATTCGAAACGACGAAGGTAACAGCATTGTATCACGAACATTGGAATATTTCATCGAAACGCATAGTGACACACTATTTTTTTTACATACAATAAAAATTTATGGAAAAATATATCAGTTAACAATTATTTATATGCATGAAGCATTGATTTAATAGCTATGAAGTTGATTGCAAATACAATTTAATTCAAATAATTATTTACTTTTTTGCAGCAATACAACGAATATTTCTTTTAACTGTTTCTATATTGGTATGTTTCGGTGGTAAAATTTTCTCATATATGGCTAAAGCATGTTGTAAATAATCAAGAGATATTTCTGATTGCTGTATATATGTGTAAGTTATTCTGATATTATTCAAATTATCGTCAATGTCAACATGAATAGAAGGATAACATTTTTCTCGAATTTTGAGCGTTTCTTGATGGTAATTAAGAGCTTCTTCATACATTTCTTGTTGATATAGAATATTATCAATATTGTTTAGATTATGAGCAATATTGATTTGAAAAGAAGAATGAAATTTCTTTAATACTTTTAACGCTTGTTTATAATAGTGAAGAGCATCAGTTGTGTTTTCTGGTATATATAGAATAAAAGCAATATGATTAAGAATTCGAGGATTATCGACATGGTCAAAAGAATTAAATTTCTTTTGTATTTTCAAAGCTCGTTGATAATGGTTAAGAGCTTTGTCATTTTTCCCTTGATTATTTAAGGTAATATCAAGTTTGTTAAGCATATTAACTGCATCATTCCAAAGTGGTGATTTAGCATTCACTGCTCGACTATGTGCGCGATTATAGTATTCTTATGTAATCTTCTATTCACTTTTAAAATCAAGATATTCTACTAAGATTGAAGTCGATCCAAGCATGATCGTCTCCATTAGGATTATTTAACACTCGTTCAAAATACTTTTGTGCTTTGTCATATTGGCAAAACTTACATATTAAACGTCCAAAAGCAATACACACACTTTTTTCTTCTGTTCTGAGATGTTTCTCTTCAAGATAATATGTAACAATTTTTTGTCCATCATTCGATACATTTATTTTTACTAACCATATTTGTGAAAAACGTTGAATATTTTTCAATCGAAAAGTAGTTTTTACATCGAATAATACTTCTTGTATATGAGGATATTCACTGTATTGAGCAATATCAGCAAAGATGATATTTTCACCAAATTCTCAAATATTACATCCAATTTAGAAAAGTATTGATACTACATCAGTTCGTTTGGTTGGTTCCATAGCTACATCAAGAGCTAATGAGTGATGCCAATTAGGGGCATTTCGGAAATTAATTGATGAGTTTTTTGGGTATTTTTGATCCTACCCTTCCTTGTGATCATATGTGATAATCTCGGGATCCATTTCTGATTACATAATCTTGAGTCACTCCTGCGGATAACTTTTTTCAACCTAAATATAGGCATATTTTCTAGGATATCTTTAAATTATCTGAGTCGACGCATTCCTTGAGGATCTGAGTTGTTACTTTTATATCTGATAGCTCTAATATCTGTAATATCTCCGTAGAGGTACAGATAGAGATGGTCCGACTGGAGATATCGGAAGTGTGACGCCCCTTCACCGCTTCAATCAAGAAAACTTTTAGTTTGTTCTCAGCGGAGCCGAAATTTTTCTTGCGTTGTCATAGAACAAAAAAATCGCGATAACTTCCCCCTCCTCAATGTGAGCTGTTCGTGCCAACGTTAGATTTAGAGGTATAGTTTTTTTGAATTTGTCACAAAGCCTAATTACCCATCAGCTCATATTATCGTGTTTTTCTCTACGCATGATTTGATGTAACGCTTGAAATAGTGACTGTCTAACCAGATCTTATAGAAATTAGGAAGCAAAGTGATTCTACTAGTCTCACCTTTCAACATTGCATGAGACTTACACTTTAGGTATGTTCTAGGAAAATCTGTATCGCAAAACAATTTTTGAATGGAAATTAAAAACAATTGGCTGAAAAATGAGGCTCTTTTATGTAAATAGGTGTTTCTTTTAAAGTAACTACAAAGTAGTGTTAATTACATGAACGATCATCTGATTCCCCTGTAATAGTTAGTGATACTTTCACGACCCTCTCCTCTTTCCTCCAACTGATCACGTGATTTCCAAATAGCTCCTGAGCAGACAAATAGCCGTTCATAGAGATGAGTGTACCTTCATTTTTTTAAAGTTTCTTCAATTCTTTTCTTGTTAGTTTTGTTCCGCGATAAACAGTCAGTATTTGTTCATTTGCAAAATAGAATTTTCTGATGTTCACATGCGATATTTTCTGTTAGATCATAAATAAAGAAACGAATCATATGTAATTGATCAATATCCGGAGTTCTCAATACTTTAGTCATCAATTTAGAAATAAATAATTGTTTTAAATATCAACGAATACCTTTCTCTGAACGATATTCTCTCGTTCAAATTCATCGATTAATCTGTATTCTGTCAAATTAACATGTTAATATTGTTGGTACATATTACTCATTGGGTTTTTTTGTTTGTTGATAATGTGATAGGCAAAAAAGGACATGACTAAAAAGTTGAAACTAAAGAAACTCGGCTGATTCTTTCGATATATATTCTGATCATATCTGATGTGGATTAAATAAACTAAATGTTAGTTATTGTTTATTAATAAAATCAATTTCTTATCGAATACATGCACATTAGATATCTAAATCTGTATAAATATCAAGAATTTTTAGGATAAACAATTGTTAAATATTCATATTTTAATTTTTCAGTTGAAATAATGAAAATAGAATTGATTTGATGAAATTTAATAGTATGTGATAAAATTTCAGTAGCACTAGAACCAGAAATAACTAAAAATATCTTCTCTTTATTAATAAATCGAGTGAAATCAAGATATTAGTCGAATTGAGTATGAAAGACAACATCAACATCAATTTCTTGTAGACGATTTTTTATTTGTTCTATATCTTTATAAGATCTTATATTGGAATCAAACCAGAGAACAATAGTACTTTCTTTATTCTTGTTATCATTTGTTACAATAGAATGATAATTAGTCAAAGAGAAATTTATCCTGTTTGGAGACGATATTTTATTACTCATGACTGAGGAAAGATGTGCTTGTTGTTAGAAATCTAAAAATTATATTTACAAACAAAAAGAAAAAGAAAAAGAAAAGTTATATGTGTTACGATAGTCAAATGTGTAAACGACTGAATTTCTTGCTTTAAAAATCCAAACATAATTTCATTTTTGAAAGTTATCGTTAGTATTCTTCGTTGCAAAGATTTTCTTTTCTTTTTTCTTTACAATCTTTCTCTTCGTTTAGTTTTTCTTGTTGTTATCTTTGGTCTACGATGACTCGGTATTTATCATTATGTACTGGAAATCTTCCTTTTATCCTCATGTTATTGTTTGCATATACGATGGAGTAAAAATTATCTGTATAACAAAAAATATTTCTATATTTTTATTCTAGTGCACTCGAATGGTTATGCTTTCTTTTTTCAAATCGATCATGTTACCAAATACTAGTCTGAACTACCATCATTGACTTCAATCAAGAAAAGTCAACTTTTGAAAAAAACAAGGAAATATTCATAGAATAAATCTTAAAACTTGTCGTATCTCATTTCAGACTAGTATCCTGCACGGAGCTAACTAAATTTTTTGCCGAAAATTCACTCTTAACACTAAGCTTTTTTTGAATAGTAGGTTTTGTTCTCTAATATTTACTGTAGAAAGTGACGTATTTTGAAGATTCCAACGACATCTTATCAAGGTCTATAGACATGAAAGAGAGTCGGAGTCGAAAAAATTCGGAATGGAATTTTACTCCGACTTTGTTTCGTGTCCGGATGTCTCTATAAGACATTGTTAGAACCTTCAAAAAGCATCAATGTGTACAGCAAATATCAGAGAACAAAACCTACGATTAAAAAAAGTTCATATGTTAAAATTGAATTATCGACAAAAAATTTAGTTGACTCCCGTGCAGGGCTCTAACAGGTACAACTTTTCGAAAGCGAACCCATCCATCTTATATTCGGACTCGAATCGAAGCTAGTTGATATCTGATAGATACTTACATATCTTATATCAAACGTTCAAATAATTGTAGATAATTGACGATATGGAATCTTTCATTACTAGAAGAATTATTTAGAATGAAATCTATCATCAATGTTCTACAAGTCAATTCATTTCTTTTCAAGAGTAGCAATAAATTTAACATAATAAAACATTCATCTTGTACTTCTCTCACAAATTCAAAAAGTTTTCTATAAATTCATCAATAAGATCGATCAATTTATTTTTTCACATTCATCATGATGCAAGCACTTCAAGTTGGCTTACCTTTTGACTAGTATCTAGAATAGAAATTTTTGTTTCTGACGAGCTTTTATTATTTTACATATACTATTTCAAATGTTTAGACTCGCATGGATAAAAATCAAAAATAAATAATATCATCAATATAAACATATTTATCTAACACATGAATAAATTCTTCTGTCTTGACTAATTATTTTATCTGATACAATATCTAAGCAGCCATAGCAATAGCCAACATATGTTGTCGTCGATGGGTGCGTGGTCGTCTAAATTTATTAGAATTGTCATATCGATTGAAAAGAAAGTTGAATCGTGGATTGGTCATCATTAACATTTCATCAGACGAACATTCGCTAGTAAAATGTATTTCATTTTCTAATTCATCCGATGCGTCTGCTGTTTCTTCTATGACGTTTGACGTTTGAAAAAGTGTGGATAGTTTCGCTGCTTGTTTGTTTGACTTCTTTTGTTTATTAATCTTAGATTGCACGAGATTCAAATGTTTATTGTTGATAACTTTTGAAGGTTGATGCTGTTGCCAATGGTATAACATTTGTGTAGTGTATATGGAAATGTTCTCTATAAATTGGATCCATTGTTGCTGAAGCATATGTTCCACAATATCAACACGTGATTGATCTTTTGTTGAAATAATAACCCAAAGACCGTTAATAGCTTGAATTGCTTCTAAGTAATTTGAACATTTAGCTATTATATCAAATTTTATTTGAGCAATTTCATTGAATAACTCCTGCGATGTGTTCGATGTCACAAATTCAAGACTAACATGATGCATTTTTTGTAAAGTACGCAGTTGATTGTCGTGTTGAACAGTAAAATTATTTGATATGATATCTTGCATTTTTGAATTGGAAAAAGTAGGAAAGGATAAAATTGTATAATTACATATTTTTGATGGTGATGATAAGATATGAGTAGCAATATATTGTTTTAAATCAAGTCGAAGACAAATAAGTCGTAATTCATTAATATCCATTGATTTTAAGAATGATTCTATTGTTTTAGATACCATATTATTTCTTTTCTCAGGACATGAACAACATCGTTTTGGCAGTTGTCGTAATGTTAAGATAGTAAATTCATTTGTTTTCCGTAGTTGATTGATAGCAGCATGGAATTTAGAAAGAAAATGATGATCATGAACAAAACACACCATGATGACAAATACCTAGAGTAGAATGCAATACTACCTTATGTATCTTACCTTTTTATAGTTGGTGAATAGAAAGATGAGACTTTCGCAATTTCTTACGTTTAATATGAAATATGATATAATAAACATTAAAGATTTAATGGACACATCCAATTTTTTATGACTCACTGGAAAATTACATCTTAACGTTATGTCGTAAAATTGAGAAAGTAATACATCCATTACAATTATTTGAAGTTTTTTTTCATAATTACAAAAAAAATCTTGAAAAATGTTATCCTATTCCAGTAGAATTTCAGTTTAAATAATTTTCATAATATTTACAAAAAAAGTTGCCTATGAATTATTTGTAAAAAATGTTTCAATTAATTCATATATGTCATATACGACTAAGAGATAAGAAAGACTTGCCTTAAAACAATAAAAGAAGGATAGATACGAATAAAAAGATTTTTATTTAAACCATTTCGTGAATATCTATTTATATTGTTAATCAAAAGTAAAATTAAACATAAAACAACAATTTATTATAAACAAGTAAACAATTTTGTAAAGAATGCAAAAGTAAAATAAACTGTTCGCTGATGTTTTTGTTTTTTTTTGACTAATAATATGAATAGATATTTATGAAAATCTCAAATCATTTTCTTTTATCATTGTCTATTCATCTGTCATTTCGTATTAAATATATTTCATCGAATGATTAAAACTATAGTGAATCATAAGAGACTCTATCGACAATATCGATTGTTTTTTGATACAAGTTTTGAAAGATCTCTATTATTTATGTGCTTGTTGTTATCAAATCAGTTCGATCTTTTTCATAAAAACTTGTTCGAATAAAATCGATCGATACAAAAATAGACAAATGAAGAAAAATCATTTTTTTAAAAATCTTAAATTATAAAGTTACGGAAAGTATATAGACTTTACTATGATTTAATAATTGTGTTCTGTAATCGGACTGAGTACTGGCCATTCGACTCGATTTAGAGCATGGATTCATGTGACGGACATGAAAAATAATGTCGGTTCGAGTATCGGGTATGATTTCATATTCAAACGTGGCCCAAGAATAGTGAGATCTCGACATTTTAAAACAATTTTACTTTTTCATACTACTAAGTTATATAAAAGCATAGGAATGAAAACCGGTTCGATCATGCTTGAGCAATTTATTGTGTTTGAGAATCGGCCAAACTCGATCAAACTTTCGAACCAAATAGCCTGCCATTTAGCTTGTTGATTATTAAAAGCTGATAGCGAATAATCAATAAATAATTGAAATCTAATCATCGCATTGCTTTCTTAATCATATTCCTATCATAAGTGGATAAGCTAGTAGCTTTAACACATAATTTCAACGATTTAATTAAGACTCCTATACTTCATTGCGTTATAACACAATGTACAATGTTAAAATTTTTTCTATAGCCGGTATTTCTATAAACAAAACAGATCAATATTCTTTTTTTTTATTTTTTGTACAATCATACTTTTGAAAACGAACGAAAAACAATCATTATTATCTAGAAAAAATGAGCAGAGTGAAAACAATAGTAAAAAAGAAACAAAAAGACGAAAATAAAATGGATTTAAGTAGTTCTTTCAGCTTCATTGGTATTTGCCATTGCTGGTGATGATGACGTTTGTCCTGTTCCATCTTTTTTCATTGTCAATCTCTTTAATACATCATAATTAATTTTACTTGATATACGTTTATCTTGTGAATTTTTTTCTGCTTCAAGTGCTGAATGAGCTGCAGCAGCTAAACCAGCTGGTGTCAATGAATTAAAACCAGCTAATTGATGATGAGTATTAGTAGTATTTGTTGATTTATTTAATTCATTCAATGCCATTGTTGCTGCTTTCTTCTTACGTTTACGTCGTTGTGCTGCTGTCATACTATTTGAACCAGTTTTCTTTTGTTCAGCAGCTTCTTTATTACGTTGACGTCGTTTTTCTTCTAAGAACCAATCTTTATTTTCACGTAGCCAAGATTTAAGTTTAAGTTTTGTTTCATCACGTGTTAAAATCATTTCTTCAATTTCATTATCATCAATACCAGTTAAATCAAGTTCTTCATTCGATAAATCAATTGATGGATGCCATTCAGGAAAATCAAGTACAACTTGATGATGATAAGTTATACTTGATGTTGTAGAATTAATATTATCTTTTGAATAATTTAAAGATGATGTTACTGGTTCTGAATAGAATTATTAAAAATCATATTAAGTATTAATATAAATCATTGATGAATAACTTACCAATGCCCATAGTTGTTAAAGATGGTCGAAGAGATTTAAAATCATCTTCTTTATTTTGTTGTTCATCATCATCATCATTATTATTATTATTCGTTAATTGATTACCATCATTATCGAATAATGAAAGAATTAATTGTGTTTGTTGTTCTTCAATATAATTTGCAGCCCATTTCATATCATTCTCATCGATTGGTGCTGGTTCCGTTTCAGTTGTTATCATTGTTGATGAAATTTCATCATCTTCATCGATTGATTGTTTTCGTTTTGATTTTTTATTTGTTAAAACTTTTTGAATTAAATCATCTTCTTCCGTACCTAAAACATTTTTTTCTAAATCAACATATTTTGCATATCTAAAAATAAAATATAAATATGACAAAAAACAACAAAAAAAAACACGAATCACATACTTAGCTAATTGACCACGTGGTTTAGATAATTTTTCTAATTGATCATCAATTTGTTTTTGTGTGTCAAGTATTTCACGTTCAATTTGTTCAATATTAAATGATTCTTCATATTGTGCAAGTTTTGTCATACGTTTAGCTTTTGAAAAAGCTGGTGGATCTTGTTCTTCTTCAAGTTCAATTGTGTCAAATTCTTTCATATTTAATTGTGCTGTTGGTGTTGTTTCAAATTCTTGTAAACGTCTTATTATTGTTGCTTTTGATATTTTAACAACATCAACTATTTGTTGAATTGTACGATTAAAATTATGCATACGTGCAGCAAATAATAATGCTGAACCACAAAGACCTGATGAACGACGACCAATATTAAGCCAATCACGTTTCATACGTTGAACAATACGTAAAGCTGTATTAGAAACAGCATTTGTACGATCACCAAAATCAAGTTTAGCTGCATAACGTGGTATAAGTAATGATGGATCTGTATGTGGAACATTAATACATAATTCACGTGCTAATCGTAAATAAATTCGTGCTAATACACTTATATCAGCATCAACATGATCACAAAAATCAAGTAAAATATGTTGAGTACCTTCTGTTCGACAAATAATGTACAAACAAGCAGCAAGTAAATGACTAGATTTATTTCCACGAGATAATCCGTGATCAAGTGCCATTTTATAAATCTTAATAAAAAAAAAAAAACAATCCACAAAATTATTTTAAAAGAAAAAATAAAAACTTCAAACATACTTTAAATGCTGCATCAATACAATGATGATTCATACGCATATTACTGGCAATATCTGTTATACCGCGACGAGCTTTATGTAATGTTATTTGTCTTGATTCTCGAATATTAAAACCCATCATACCACCAGCACTTGCACCACGAACATCATCATTTGATAACCATTGTCCAACAACTTGTATACCACCACCACTTGTTTCAGTTAATTCAGCTTCATTAATAATAATTGTATCTTCAATAACTTCACCACATTGCATACATACACTAAGACCGCGCGCTCGATCCGTATCGATCTCTGTTCCACCACATTTACATGCTTTACTCGACATGACTATTTTTACTGTATGCAATCTAAAAGTGAAAAGAAAAACAATCGGCAATATGATAAAACGTCTATTAAGTGTATGTATTTGCGATGGTGCAATAACCTCCATTCTCTTTCTTCCTTTCACATAAAGCAAATAATAACGTCATTAAATTCTGATTGGTAACATTTCTTTAGTTTATTTTTTTTTTCTGTACAAAACAAAAGAAAACAAAATACAGAAAAATTACACAATTATTCATCATCTTGTTTATTATCTTCAATTTCTTTAGGTTCTTTTACATCAAAATCTTCACCATATTGTATACTTAAATCAATTTCGACTAATAAATTTGTTATAGAATCTTCTTTACTCATATCTAATGCATAGAATTTCACTAAACTATAGTCATATATCACACTTGCTATTGCTTTATTCAATTGACTATAACGACCAAGAAATGTATTCGATAATTCACTGTTTGCTAACTGATATATATCAGGATCCATAAATCTAACAAAAAACAAAAAGAAAAAGAAAGAAACAATACAATTAAACATAATTTAAAAATAAATACTTTTTCAATTGTTTTTTATCACGTTTTGATAGAAGATCAACTTTTGATAAAACATGAATAAATGGTATTTCAAGTTGAATCATTGATGATAATGCTGTAAGCATTCCACTTAAAAATTTTGATTGTTCAACAGAAAATTGTGCATCAACAAGAAATACACCACATACACGAAAATTCCAATTTTGTAATTGCTCAACAACACGACGCATTACTGGTACATGAGTATATAATTCAATTTGACCTATTATTTATAGAAATCAATAAAGAAAACAAAATAATGAATTTAATTACCGGGACAATCAAATAAAAAATAATCATCTTCTTCATCACCTAACTGTTCATGTAACCAATCGAGATTTCGTTCAAAATATCTACAAAAAATAAAGAAACATCTTTTTATTTTTAATCTTTAAATGGTAACATACTCCATACAAAAAATAAGACCACCATTTGGACCAAATCGAAGTGCTTGATCATCCATTGCATCATCGATTTCAATTAATTCTCTAATATCTAAATAAAATTTTTTTTATTTCATAATTTAAAAAGAAAACTAAAAAACAAAAATTTACCAGCAAAAATTGGATAATCAAAATGTTCAGCTGCTGGATCAAGATTAATTACATTTATTGTTCGTTTAATTACTTCACCATGTTTAACCATTGAACTACAATATGTTGATTTACCTGAACCAGCTGGTCCCTACAATAATCTCATTGAATTGAAATTTTTAAATTATTTCAAAACTTACTAAAACTAATTGTGCATATCGAGGCATTTGGGAAAATAATTACAAAATCTTAAAAAGAAAGCAAAAAAGAATTTTGTTTTCGATTTATTAAACTATCTTCTTACGTCTAAAATAAAAAAAAGAAAAAAGAAAACTTGTCGATAGACGTAAATATTACAAGACATACACGAATTGACTATATATATATATATCAGTGTTGTACAAGAGATAGAACAATGTCTGACAAGAAATGAGAAGATTATGTTGCACGGAAGAAAAAAAAGCAAATAAATTTGATATCTAGCACCACATTGACAATATTAATAATAAAAAAAAAGTAAATCCCTGAGAAGAAAGAAAGCGAAAAAATGAATATCTAACATTGAAAATCTTTTTTCATTAAATTGCCCAATTGATTGCGAACGTCTTCAAGTACATCAGCAGGATTCTTATCAATTTCATCAGTATCTATTGATTTCGTTTCTTTTGTATAATTATTTAATAATGGCCGATTCGGACTACGAAATGGAGATTTATCTAAAAAGACAAAAAAAAAAAAATTATTTTCAAGAAATAAATATAGTGTTGGCCAAAAGTATAGAACCATTGGTTCGAATAGAATTGTGTAATAAGTTTCGATCATTTTAATTTTGTTCTATACATAAGAGTATTGAAATAGTCGAAACTTATCACACAGTTGCATTCGAACAAATGATTCTATAATTTTGGCTAATTCGGTATAATAAATTTACATTGAGATGTTGTTTGTATAGTTGTAGTTTGTTGTTGTTGTTTATTTGTAATTGATGGTGGTGGTGGAATAATTGGTGGAGCAACAGGTACAGTAAAGCTTCGTAAATTTGGTTTTGATGGAAGAAGAAGTGCACGTTGATTATCTGAATTTTCACTATTATTATTTGAATTAGATATTCTATCATAAAGACCAGTTCCTATTATAGGAATTGATTGAATTGATGGTGGATTATGATTTGAACTACAATGACTATTCGATGGTGAATGTTGATAATCAGGTGATGATGGACCTTAACAAACAAACAAACAAACAAACAAGTAAAAACAACAATGATTTAGATTTAAGTTTATTGATTTAAAAAAAAAGAATTGTACCCGATCCAATCATGTGTGATTGTTCATTAGGTCGAACAACATATTGAACTTTTTGTTGAATAGGTCGAACAGTTACATGTTGTTGTTGTTGTTGAGCAACATTTGTATGATTCATAATAAATGCAGTACCCATGGCTAAATAAAAGAAAATAATTTGTTAATAATCTAATAAATAAGATGAACATTAAAACATACGTAAATTTTTCATAGATTTCTTTTGTGTTTGTTGTTCAAACGATCCACCAACAGCAATAGGTCTTGTACGTATACTTGTATTAAATTTTCCATTTATAGGAAAACTACTTGTATTTCCATCGATTGAACTTGAACCATCGTTTGATGGTACATATGAATGTCGTTGTTGATCATTATTTAATTCAATATTACTTGTTAATGGTTGTGTTTCTTGTGTATGATGATAAAGAGGATGATGATGATGATGATGATGATTACATCGTTGTAATGTTCCACTACCAGCCGTTGATGATGTTTCATAATGTCTTTCAGTCGTATTCGAATTTCGAATTGTTGCTGTTGGTGGTGATAAACAATCAGCACCAGCCCATAAATCAGTTGGTTTTATTAATGATGATGATGCTGTATTACTTGTTGGAGAATATTGTCGTTGATGACTATGTGTTGGAGAATTATGAATATGTTTTTTATTACCTGACCAACAAGAACAACAACAACAACTTGTTTTTGAACAAATTATAATACCACAGAAGAATAGACATAAAAATGCAATACTGAATGCAATTAAAATAAGAAGCCATGAATTATTTGATAAACCCATTGATGGCCATCCAAATAAATTTTGATCTAAACAAATTAACAAAATAATATATTTCTTGTGTTTTGCTTTAAAATAATAAGTAAGAACTTAAAGATTGTTTTTCTTTAAATTAACAAAGGTACTATTCCAACTATAATCCGTCGTTCGAGATAGTTGCTTGTCATAAAAATCGAGTTTACTTGAAAATTCAATATCACGACAAAGGAATATTCTTTTCGGTTGAAACTTTCAATATATTCCAAGGATCATTAGATTTATCTATCGGCAACACTTTACGTCCGAATTCCGTTAGTTAATTTTTCGGTAAATACATGCAAATGGATCGGAATTTCAGTGTAAGAATTCATAATGCAAATGAATTGCAAAATTTTTATATGTTATACAAGAGACTTATTTAAAGAATCTATCACTGTTAACGAAAGTGTGAACTTGTCTACACGCACATTGTTGTTAACAGTAGTAGACTCAAGTGAATCCTTGTGGATTCTATTAAAACTATTGATACAAATTAATAAAAACTGAAATATTTTATAATCTATTTGCGTCATCCAGTGTTCAGTAAAACGGTCATAACTCGATTTCAGAGAGACCCATGGGCATGAACCCTTTTAAGTATTGTCTACTTTTCCCGAAACTTCCTTGTGAGTTCAATATGAGCTCAAATGGCGAGTTATAGTTCAGATAGTTTCCTCGACTGAGATAATGAAATTTCTGCTCTAAAAAATCTAATAGACTAAATTAAATATCAATCTATTGTTGAAACTAGTTCACTCATCCATCATGCGTGACAAATTCTACAATTGGTTATAATTCTAGTCAGCAACCTTGCTTATTCTCTGTTAATTTTCGATAAAATGAGCAAAACAAAAACCACATACCTGTATTTTTATTTGATTCTATATGATTTGTATCAATAGCTAAAAAAAATAAAAATAAATTCTTATAAAATCTTATAAAAAACAAATTTTATAAAATTTACCATAAGGTGTTTTATATAATCTTGTTTCTGGTGTTGATTCATCATTAAATTGATTAACAGAAACAATTTTAAATAAATATTTTGTATTTGCTTTTAAATTTGAAATAGTTACTTGTGTTATTTCAATTGGTACAGTTATTTTTTGTTCTTGTCCTTTTTCATCTTGTTCATTATAATAAATATTAAATGATTTAATACCATTTATATCATCAGGTACTTGCCATGTTAATGTAACTTTTGATGGATCATTGTTTGTTATCATATTTAATTGTTTTATTGGATAAATAACATTTGAATATTCAATTGCCATTGAATAATCACTTTCAAGATCACCATCAATTGTTCGAACAGCAAATTCATAATTAGTTAATGGTTTTAAATTTTCAATTAAATATGATTGTTCATTATTTGTTAATATTTCTTGTTGTTTAATTATTTGTTGATTAGAATTTAATTCATTTATTTGAATTTTATAACGACGTGATGATGGTAAACGGATATTTTTTGGAAAATCTACATCAGTCCATTGAAGAAGAACAGATGTTTTCGAATGTGGTATTAAATTTAATTCAAGTGGAGTTTTTGGTGGTTGACGATCATCATCTTACAAAAAGAAATCAAATATTTTATTTTTATTGTAAATTACAACAAAATCTCTCTTAAATGAACATTTAATTAACTGAATCTTTTTGTTTAATGTAAGATGATGCTGTAACATCCTTGTTTTCTCTGATATTCACGGTTCTAATAAACAATGAACTGTAGTCTTAATGCATTAGGCAGAAACGATAAAGAGAAGAGGGATTAAAAAAAAGTACACGTTCATTCATTTAAAAGAGATTAGAATAGTAATTAAGACTGTAAAAATAATGTTCAAGTTCAAAATAGAGAAGTGTTCAATGTATTTAAATTTACCTTCTGATGGCATTTGAAAATCATAGAATTGTTCCGGAACAACTGTATCATTATTTTCATTAAGTGCAATTAATGAAAAAATATATTTTTGATTTGGTTCTAAAGAAAAAAAAAAGATATTCAATATTCTTTTATTTTTTCTAAGATTTTTCGTTTTCTACCGAGTTTATCAATAAATACTGAAGTTTGATTTTTATTTATATAAATTGTATGTTGATAAGGAAAATTAATTCCATATTGTAAACGAAAACGTTTTATTGTTTCATCATTGATTGCTGCTGGATGAAGTGTCATTACAATTGAATGACTTGTTGCGTTCATTTCAATTTTTGGTAAACGATCGCGAATAAACGGATCACTTCGACTTGATAAAACACGTCCAGTTGGGCTTGATGTGATTGCATTGAATGGTAATACTGCTGTCAAATAAATAAAAAAGAATATATTAACCGTCTCCATCCATATAATGACGGTTTTAATATCTGAAATGAAAGATATTTTGATAGAATGAAGGGTGTTTTATTTCATCACAATAATAAAAAAAGAAAACAAAAGAAAAGAAAAAGGCTAGGCAAATAACAACAATTTCTGGATTTTCTTGAACGTTATGATCATTGAAAAAATTCAAATATTGTCTATTCTTTTTCAGCTATACGTGTTAAATGTTGTTCTACTTCATTTTCTGCCAATACTCTAAAAAATAAATAAATAAATTATTTAGATTAATTAATTGAAATAGAAAAAAAGAACAAACCGAAATTTAAAATTATCTTTAGTAACAACACCAATTTCAATTTCACTTGGTTTTAAATCAGTTGAAAGTACATTAGCTAATGTTGAAATAGCCAACTAAAATAAAAAAAAACGAAACATAAATTATTAAGATTCTTTTCATATATTTCAAAATCTTTACTTCAATAGCTTCATCATAAGTTAAATCTGATTTTTTCTTAATACGTTTTTCTAAGAAATTATTTGCTTCCGTTTGTTTTACACCAGCACTTGTTGCACGAAATCCACAAAAATATCCAGCTGGATCAGTTTTATATAACATTGGACCTTTTTCTGCATCCATACCAAATAAAATCATACCTATATATATATATTTATTGATATATATTGTATTTCGACAAAAAAAAAATAAGCGAATTCTAATAATCTTACTGCATCCAAGTGGTCTCATTTCAGCTTCTTGCGTATAAACTTGTGAAATATCACCTATACGACGACATATAGCATCAACAGGAATATCATAACCATATTTATATTTCCATGATGCTGCTTCATATCGAGCTCGTTGTACTTGCCATCGAGAATCGGCTATATGATTTTAAAATAATAATTATATTCAAGATAAAAAATATATTCAATCATGAATACATACCAACCATTCCAGTCATTAAACATCCAACAGTTGGTGTAATAGCATGTAAATGAGTAACAGATGTTGGATCAAGTAATTTATCCTAGTAGATTGAAAGATTTAATATTACATTATTTAACCCTTTGGTTACAGAACAATATATATTGGTTAAGTTTTTAGAAATCTACTCGATTTCTTCGGCCATAGAATATTCTCTATTTTTCTTACGATTTTCGTATCAGAGCATCATTATCTAATATCACTATACACGTATATCAAACAGAAAACAAGAAATTATGAATTAAGCGATCGATGAGAAATCATTGGCTCTGTCTCTACCAGAGTCATTTGGAACTCTGTGAAACCCAACTAGAGCCCTTCAAGTTGATCCCAGATCCGAATTCAAAAATTTTGAACCCGACGGACTCTAAACCCAACAGAGATCTATAAGATGACGTAGAATCCTAGAACCATTATGGCTCCATAAAGTTACGATTACTGTCGAAATTCTAATCATACAGAAGACCAGACGTTCAATTTTATTAGATCTACATTATAATATGGAACCAGAGGAGTACACATGGACCTATTCGAAATATTCCCGAAGATTTTGGGCAACTCTAGTCGAGTCTACAAATATTTTATTTTATAGTGTTGGCTGAAGCTTAATGCAATTCCCTGTTTTCCTTCGATGCATATATTCAATTCCACGCTTCTACGAGCAAACCAATATCTTTTGCTATCTTCCCAAAAACCTTGTAACCAACAGGTTAAAATAAAATTAAAAACAATTATCGATAAAAGCGCAGTTGATCTTCTTCTCTAGTTTTCCAGTATATCTGCCAAGTTCAGTAGACAAACTAGAATTTCTAGCGTCTCTTACAGAGCATATTTCATTCAATCTTTTACACAGAAAACTTCAATGACATAATCTTTTTTAAAAGCATGAAATCAGATTATCTATTTTATTTTCTATTATTTTTACTAAGATATTCTTGCTACTGAAACTCACATTAGACATGTGTAGTGTAAGCTTTTTTTTTCGTATTCTGTACTCTCATTAAGAAAAATTGTCTTACCCTTGTTCTATCCGGCACATTTTGTGACACACATAAACTAATTTTTTATTAGGAGGAAATGTTTGTGAAAAAGAATTTTTATTGTCACCCACATCTTTGACAAGCATTGGAGACAATGATCCAAAAAAACGAATGTCTCATGGGACAGTTCGATCTATTTAGTCCCATAGCATGATATTTAATAAAAGAAATTAGTTGTTCCATCTTATTTGATGAGATTTACGAAATATCCCTTGATACATTCAAAATTTAACAAATTTTTCTTTTCAATTTATTTTTTTTTTTGGGCAAAGAATACTCACTGGAATCTTTTTTTGAGCAATAGCAACAACACAATCTGTACCACGAATAGCTACCGTTGTTAAACCACCTTGATTAATTGCTTTAAAAGCATATTCTATAAATATAAAATAAATTATTTAATTTATCGAAAGAAATTTTTCTTCAAAACAAAAAGAAAAAAGAAATACTAACCAACTTGATAAAGTCGACCTTCTGGTGAAAAGATAGTTATATCACGATCGAAACCGGCTGAAGCTGTTCGACTCATTTCGAGATAAAAAAATTATTTTTTTTTTCTTTCAATCTAGAAATATATTTACATATATAAAGCAAAAAGAACAAAATCACTAGTAATTGTCTGTATCATCATAATTAACAACAAGTCGTTTGTTTTCATGAGAATTCGTATTTACAAATTTCGGTGTAGAATTTGGACTAACAAATGGAATCGATTGAAATGGATTAGTTTGATTTGATATTGATTGTGATGATGATGGTGTATTTGGTGTTAAACTCATTTTTTTAACCAAACGTTCTTGACCAGCATTTGATGATGTTGCACGTTTAAATCCATGATCCTTACCTTGTGCTTGAACTTTAATAGCACCACTTTGTACAAGTTTTTTAGCTACTTCTTTAGCTTGTTCAGGATTTCGTATGGGATCTTTTTGATGATGAGATGAATCATGAGTATTTGTTAAATTTGTTGTTATTCCTCCAGTTGTTGTTGTAAAACGTTTATTTGATGATTTATTATGTGAAATTTCTTTCATACGTTTTTTATATTCATTAAATTCAGCTACACATGCTTCTTCAATTGTTGATAATGTTGTTGGTAAAACAAAACGACACAGCGTCGACATATTAGTTTTTTGATTGAGCAAAAAAAAAATATGATGGACGACCGATTAATAGTTTATATATTAATTAACCAATAAGAACAGCAAATCGCCATTGTTTAAGTTGTTTTTTTAATCAAAAACAATAATAAAGATGTCAGGAATAAAATAAAATGAGAAAAGAAAAATTAAAAGAAATTATTTTGAAAGAAAAATTTATTTTTTTAATTTATAAGTTTTGTTTTTCTTTTTTTTCTTTTTTTTCAAGAAAAGTGATCTATGTCATATATATAGTTGATTTTTATTGGTTATAGAAAAAAGTTTGCGTGTTCATTGGTAAAATCCTGAATATTGTTTTTCGTCGTAGCTGATAATTTCTATAACTTCTACATAATATTAACATTAAATATGAATATAATTCGATTATTTTCATTTCTAACAATTTTTGGTTTACTATTTTTTTCTACTACAGGTAAAAAACCTAATACAAATCATGAAATTTTTTTTGAAAAGAAAAGATTAATTTTATGCATTCTAGTCGTTTATGGTACAGAAGATCAAGTTGAAGGTGATGTAGAAGTCGAAGAAGAAGAACAAGAACAAGAACCTGTTTTACGTTCAGATGAAATAATAACACCAGCAAATGACATACTTGTATGAAAAAAAGAAAACTAACGAGAGAAACTTGTCAAGTGATAAGTTGCTTTTAAGTTGAGAATATACTCAATAGATAAAGTCTAGTCAAAATAGGTAAGTACTCGAGAATGATTCAAGCTATTGGATCTTTGTGGCTGAGATATCGAGTTTTCAGTAGGTTTTTTCTGCAGAACTTCAGTTTTCAAGCATAATCATACTTTTGAATGTCGACCTGAAACTTTGCTCACAGAATGGCTCCAATTAGAGTAGCTTGTAGAAAAAACGTTATCATTCTTTGACAAAGTGTTTCCGAGATATTGAATTTTTCAAAATATAGACGTTTTACCATGAGTGAAATTTTTTCTAATAGTTAGTCTAATCGAAGCTATCATGTGGGAAAAGTCTCAAAGCAAAATTTAAAACTATGATTTAACTTGAAAGCTGAGACCCTGCAAGAAAATTCTACTTAAAATTAAATATCTCACTAACAAAGATTCAACAGCTTAAGTCACTCTCGAGTACTTACCTACTGACTAAGCTCTATCTATTGAGTATAGTCTCAACTTAAAAGCGATTTATCACTTGCAAACCTTCTCTCGTAAAATGCCAAATATATTTGCTTGAAATTATTTTTTTTTAAGGAAGGAAAAGAAGATGAAGATCCAAATCGTATACCATCATCACCAGACTTTCAAACAGTTTATGTTTTTATTCAACCAGCAAAAGCAAATGGTTTGTTTTTAAATCTAGAAGAAAAAAAGAAAATAAATAAAACTCTACAATTGAATTCATTTTAGAATTAATTGCCGGTAAATTAACTCGTCTACTTGTTGGTACACGTAATAATGGTACACAAAATTTTATTATTGAATCGATTGATGGTTCATTACGTTATCCGCAAGATTATAGTTATTATATTCAAAATTTTACTTTATTACGATCGGACAAAGTTCTTGAACCTAGTTTAGAATCAACATTTGAATATTTATTTATGCCAAGTGAAACATTTAATGGACGACCAATGGGTTTAGTTGTTTTAGTTAATTATCGAAATAGTGTATGCAACGAAAAAAAAAAATTTTTTTTCTTTTCTTTTTTGTACTAGAATTTTTTTTAGGAAGGAAAACGTTTTCAAAATGTAGTTTTCAATCAAACAATTAATTTAACCGATGCTGATGAAGGATTTGATGGAGAAACGTAAGAATTCAAAAAACGATGTTTTAATAAAACAAACATAAAAAGAATTTTTTTTAATTTAGATTCTTTCTCTATGTATTTCTTGGTGCAATTTTAGTTTTATTAGGATTTTTGGCTTATCAATATTTACTTTCAAATCGTATGAAACGAGCCGGTGGTAAACAAGGTTCACAAAATTTTCTTGGTAATCCACAAGCTAAAGGTAGTTATGATGTCGATTGGATTCCAAAACATCATCTTATTCAAAGTAGGTCATACAGAAAAAAAATAGAAATGTATTTTGTAATTTTTTTTATTGTCTAGATCGTTCACCACGAAAAAGTCCAAGTCAACGAAAATCTCGACAAACAAATAGTGATGCAACTAGTACAGGAGCTGTATCAAGTGAAAATGATGAATAAATAAATATAAATCTTTGTGTTTGTGGATGTATGTGTTTCTGTGAAAAAAAAAGAGACAAAGATTTTGTTTTTATTTCTATTTGTTTTGTTTTCTTGTCCGATCTTTATTTATATAAGAGATAAAAAACCAACGAGGGATGATATATTATTATCGTATTTCTATAATTGTTGTTTTATTACTCATAAGAGAAGAAAAAGAAAAAGTAATATATGAAGCCTAGAAAAATACTCGATAGTAGGTTATTTATTGTTTTGTTTTCTGTGTTATTATTGTTGTTTTGTAGTCGTTGATTCTCTTCATTTTTATTCTTTTCTCGGAACAAATAAACTATTTGAAAAAAAATGCAATATAACGAACAAAAAAAAAACGCACACTATGTTTTTTTTTCTTTTTTTTTTTTTTTTGATATCTTATCATTGGATTTTTATAATCCAGTTATTTTTTATAGCAAGGTGAGCCATTATGATAACAAGGTCAATAACTTTTATCTATCTTTTTGTACCTAGATGTGAATTATATGTTCCACTATCGATTTATTTTGAAAAATAAACTGATCGTGCTAAATGTATGTATTCAGAATAGATAATTTTATAATAGAGTAGACTTTTATTATTGATTATTGTAGATGGCTTCATTGGTCAATAGTCTCGTTGATAGAGCAGTTGATTCTACAGCTAATAGTATAAATCCGGCTGCAGTTATACCACCATCGATGATATCATTTGTTGATAATGAAAAGATCAATTTACAACAAATAGCAAGTAATTTTTTAGCACGACATTTTGAATTTCGAACAAAAGATCATGAAAAAACCCTAAATGTTGTTCAACTTATGTCAGAATATGTTGGTAATTTTTCTACACCGATTTGTTATCTGTAAGGAAACATTATATGTATGTTATATTTTTACTATTTTTTTTTCATTTGATTATTAGCCAATTTTATTTGAAACGTGCAGGAAGATTTATTCAATTTGCTGAAGAATTAGGACCGGTTGGTGTTTTGTTTTACATTTCAAATTATTGTACTACTCTATTTAAATATTTAGTTAAGTGGTAGTGAAGAAGTTCATCGACTTAATTGTATACGTATTTATAAAAATTTTATTCAACATTATTCAGAATTGATTGGAGCTGTTCAAACTCATGAAAGTGCATGTGGTGGTAATATTTAAGCTATTCATATTCAGTTTTTTTTCTTCACAATCATCTGTATTTGTAGGACGTTTATTTCGACGTTCTGTTGAACGAATGCAACCTGAAATTGCTCATGTACCAATGAATTTACATTTACAACAATTATTAGTTAGTAGTGGAGATGATCCTTCACAAAGTATATGATCGAAAAAAAAAACAAAGAATCTTGTTTCTGTATATTGATTGAATAATTTTTTAGGATCAATTTATAATACGGTTACATTAGGTGCACCTGCTGTACATCATTCTCGTTTTACTCATGGTGGTCTTGCACGAATAAAAGCTAATGAACGTGAAACAAATGAACGTTTATGTTATTTACAAGAAAAATTACAAGATGTTCTCATTCTGAATAGTGATATTGATGATGCACTTGATCATTTAACAAAAATTATTGAAAGTCCATCAACACATATAGAACATTCTGTACTTAAATTATCTCTTCAAAGAGTTATTCAAGCTGTAAGTTTTACGATAAGATTAAATCTAACAGAAAAACATATCATGAAACATAAATAACAAGTCCAATAAATTTTCTTCGAATGCTTTTGTGCCCGGATTTTAAGCCAATTCAAGCCAGGCTTCGAAATTGTCTCCTTATTTAATAAGCCGGTCCGGCTTGGCATCGCCAAGACCAACCTAGAATGGCACTATTAAAAGTATATTTCTTTTACAAAAAGGATTTCTAAACGATGGACTCCTATAATCACTGCAGTCATTTATTAGAGCATTGTAAAGAGTTTATTGTCATACTGATCGCGAGCTAAATAAGGTCGGACAATTTTAATACTTGAAAAATAAAAACAGCATGAGAGAGGTAGATCGAATTATTTATTGAATCGAGAGATCAAGATGTGTTCGCGTCTACTCCAACTTCCTAAAGATTATTATCTATTAACATCAGCTTTCACGAGTACAATACTCGCTGATTAATTTCAAAGAGTTAGATCCATTACTATTTTGAGTTACGTTATTAGTTTTAGTACCTAGTTCATCCTGTTTCACTTGAGAAAAACTTATGTCACTTAATGCAATTGATAGGGTACTCGACCTTATGTGTAGATGAGGAATGTCATTGAACTGAATAAATTCTCTGCTTCTAATATATTAGCTAAATAAAACTTCCAAAATGTTCATATAATAAAGATTCCTGATTGTTACCAGTTGCGAGGTGCAAAATCCGTTTTTGAAATTTTGACAAAAAATCAGAATGAAATCGATCGAAATAGCGCTATTTAATTGTGATTGAAACCTGATTTTTTTCATTTTAAAGATAGACTTCAGTTGATTATAGTCTTTTTTAATCGATTAATAGAGATTTATCGATTGAATCCTTTTTTTTTTAAATCGATTAATAAAGCTTAAAATCAAATAAAATCTATGTTCAAAGTTGAAAAATCAGATTTTTATCGTATTCAACTAATACCATTTTAATTGTTTTGTTTTAGTTAGAAAAAAATCAATCAAAATCAGATGTTTTCCGTTTTCTTACATAGAAGATCTTCCTTGCGAAAAGGAATAATGTTTGAGTCGAGCGACCGATGTCGAACTCTGAGATTCGAATGAAGAATTTCTTGTTTCAGAAAAATTTGACTTTATATTTCACACAAATTTCTTTTGTTCACAAAAAATTCTTCATCGTGTAATATCGACTTTCAAGCTATAGAAGAAATATTTATGATTATTTTTTTTTCAGTTAAGCAACACAAGAATAACAAAACTAGATTTGACTGTCCAAAACATACCTTTTCTTAATGTATTTGCAAAGATTATTTAGTATAAAATGTATTTTTTAAATGCCTTTGAAGCTGAATTTAGAAGTGTTCTATTGCTTTTTGGCTCATTCTATTATACCAAGAAGGCAATTCGATTAAGTCTTTTTTCCGTATCAAATTTTGAATAAAAATTTGCTAATGTATTTTTTGTTAAAAACTGAGATTTCATTGAAGAACAAAGTCGACTTGGTGATGATTAATAAATATATTTTAGTGAATATTTGGCTCATACCGTGCAATAAACGAGTGGATCACTCGAATGTGTCACTTCATTTGATTTTTAAGTGTTATTTATTTTCTTTTTTAACTACTTGAATTTTCTCTAAAAAGTACTTTAATATTTATAAAATATTTTCATCTAATAAATAAGAAATTTTAGTCAAAAAATTAATAAAATAATGTTTTCGTAGGTTGTCTCTTTACTTGAATATTCAAGCAAAGATCTTGATAAAATAGCTAGTTCATCATCACGAATAGTTGTTAATCCATTGGTATCAAAAGTATCTGCTGAAGAAGTATCTGCATCACAAGTATGTATATGAATAATATCGTTTTAAAACAAAAAAAAAAAAACAAGAAATAAACAAAACTTTTCTTTTTTCTTAGGATACTATACATGACAAAGCAAAAAAACTTTTAGAAGAAATCAAAGAATCAATGAAGAAAGATGAACAAACATTTGGAATGACACAATTAAATTATTTAAAATCTATTGCTGATGAACTTGAACGTCATACATGTAAACATATAATGCGATATATATTTAAAGAAAGTATGGAAATTGAACGTTATTCTCAAGTTTATCGTGAACGTTTTGATATTGCTTTTTCTCAGGCGGTAAATATATATTTATTTAATCTTGAAAATTATTTTCTTTTATAAACATTGTTATTGTCATATTTTTTTTATTTGTATAGTTAACTTGTCTTATATTCTCAATCACTGTTCTTCTATCATCTGTTAAAATAAGTGATCAAGCATGGCAACTTTACATAAACAATGGTGAGTACATAGGCATGCGAGAAAAATGTAAATGATAGAATATGTATTATGTTTTTATTTAAATGCATTTTGCAACAAAAAAACACCAAACATTCTCATTCTTTTTTATTTGATCTTCAACACTTGATTTTTTTTTCTTCTTCTGTATTTTTGCGAACACACGCACACACGCGCACACCTATAATTATGATTCCTGTTTTGCGCTCGATTGATGGCCTTCTCAATCGTTTTGATGAATTATCACAACATCATGCTAGTTTTATATCAGATTTTGAGAAAAATATTACTGATATTGAAAATCCCTTACGTGATGTTACACGTGATGAAGAAGAACAACGAAAAACTGCTGAAAGTTTATTAACGACATCAACAGAAAATTTTGATCAAACAGGATCATTCGGAAATGTAGAAGATTTTAATCGACGTATAACAAAAAGTCGAACTCATAATCGACCACCAAGTTATTCATCAAATGATACTAATTCATTTTATAATCGTGTTCCATCAAGAAGTTCTTTGGCAACAACAGAATCAGCTCCACCTCCACGCACGTCAACATTAACAACAAGACCAGTAATAGGCAAAACAAGTACCTCTCAATCAGTAATATCGACTTCAATTCAGAATCTTAACCAACCAAAGGTTCGATTAACAACTAAGATTAAACCAAAAATTATACCCGAAAGTCTACCTACAACACGTCAATATCCTCGTAGTCCAATCACAACATTTACTATGGAAACTGCTATTCGACTTTCAAGACCTAAAACATGTGATCACTCACTTGATCAAAGAGTATCATCAAAACGTGTTCATCGACGACTAAAATCTAATCAAAATACAAAGAATGAAGCATCGGAGTCATCAGTTATATCGGTTTCATTAGCTTCATCATTGAAATCATCACCAAACAAGCGAATAAATCCAACAACAATAAAGACATCTTCGAAAAAGCTTAAAGCAGATAATAGATTTGCAACAGACAATTCGAAAAGAATTCCAATGAGCAACTATCCTCGGCCAGCTATTGTTCTTGTACCCCCACCTACAGTATACCTTACTTTTCCTATGCAACCAGAATTACGATCATCTCGAGTTGTTGTTTTACCGAAAGCAACAACCACAAAAAAACCAATTAATATTTCTACTAAAAATAGATCCGTAATACCGCCGATGCGATTGATACAATTAATGACATGATCATTTTTTTTTTCATAAATATTTGGATAGTTTGTTTATGGAATAAAATTCAATATTAACTAAAGATAATTGAAGTTGATAAGTTATAAATAGAGGAGAAAGACAGATAATGAAAATTTCAATTTTATTTTATTCTCTCAATTTTTTTTTTGTGCATTCTTTATTTTATTCATTGCAGGAATGTTAATCTCTTTCGAATATCTTCTTACATGTGATGCTGATGAATTGGGTATGCTTGAAGATTCTGTTGAAGCAATTCATGCATTAGAAAATGTTCATGTACGTTTTGTACCTGCAACTAAAAATAATAATTTACTTCAACCTCGATTTTTCGGTACAAGATTTTATTGTAAAGTTGTGATACCATTACCGGCTCATATGTTTGCTCAATTACCACAAAAATTGAAAGATGGTGCATCGATTCGTATTGTGCCAATCGTATTCAATATAGGTATTGATCATCGAGCATCAATTGCGCGAATGAAGGCGTTAGTAATAGAAAGAAATAAAAAAGAAAATAAAAACAAAAATAATTGAATTGTTCTTTAAGGTTACATTTCTTCAGCTCAACACAGGTTGAAAATGACCTCAATTATAACAATTTAGCCAAACTAAAAGCCTATATTAATAAAAGTGTCGATAATTTACCAGGTACTTCTTTTTTTCCATACTTGAACAATGTATTAGTATGAGACTAGAAAAAAAGCATATGAATATTTTGTATTTGTTCTTAAGATGACATACCTGATTTAATGAAATTACTTGAACATACAATCTATTTGAATAAACCAAAAAATGTTGATATTTTTCCACTTGCTGAAAAAGTATGATATACTTTTTGACATGTTTGATAATTTTCTTTATTTCAATTTAGATTTGTCGTCGAGCATATGGAATACGAGTCACTGGTTGTAAAAGTGCTAAAGATCGTACATCAATGAGTTTTACATTAGAACAAGGACAATTACTTGTAAATAATCATAATATTGATCAACATGATTTACAAGATGTACTTAATCAATTTCGACGTAATGGTACATCAATTGAAAATGCACTTGCTAATACAGGCGCTAAGGCATATGCTTTTTCATATATACAATTACGTACATTTCCAGAATATTATCGTGCTCAACCAGGCACTTACGGCAATGTTCAAACATAATTCCAATAAAAAAAAAAAACTAGTTGTAAATGCGTTTTATTTTTGTAGTTAAAAATATTATATGTAGTTCGCATTTATTAGTGATATATTTCATGTATTTTTTAAAAATTAAGAGAGAAGAATATTGTTTAACTGAATCTATTTGGCTTCATATCACCCATAAATGCTATTTCTTATATGTTGATTAACTGTGAAGTAGTACCTTGTTATGGAGGTTCATTTGTTTTACATTGTTCATCGATGACTGTTTCATCATGAGTTATTTGTTGGTGAATAAATTATCAACGAGTATCAGCAAAGGCTGGTTTACAAGTATAACAATAAACATAGAATATACTAAGAATAACAACAATAATTAAACGTCGAATTCAATGAAAAACAAAAGATGCTGCTTGTTAAAAACCATAAACTATTTGAATAATTGTATTTGTGTCTGTTAGTGGAAATGTAACTTTTGACTGTAGCTGTTTTGGTCACAATCATATATGGCTTTAGTCTTATAGTTCTGATGAATCATCAACGTTTTTGTTAAACATTCTTTCATTCTGATCATTGTTCTAACTTTTTCTTTCTCGATGGGGATATGATTGATATGGGTATGGATCTGTATGTGGATGTATGTGTGATTTGGTGCATATGTTGGTGTGGATTTTCTTTGTGCTTAGGCACACGCCCACACTGTCGTGATTGAAAAACATTAATTATAGGTTTGGATCAATGGTTAAGTGAACTTTCATTTAAACATGAATTGATTATTGCTGAAAATCATGAATCAATTTTAGTTCCAACACTGAATTATCAACGTTTTTGTACAGGCTGAACAAGTGGTTATGAATGATGATCTTCGCATATATGGTTTATCTTGACGTTCAACAGGCTTTGATGATATGCATGCAGATTATGGAGTTTATAAACAATCAAATGGAACCTACTTGATAACGCGTCATCTTCTCCTTTTTTCTTGATCTCAAACATTGAATGATCATTTAAGATTCAAAATTTCAATCAATGAAGATTTAGTGATTTCTATGGAACATCTTATTTAATTTATCTTAACAAAATTCAGAGCGAAAATAATTGTTAATTTTATGACGATAGTTATAAATAATAGGTTGTGTTGTTTTTCTTTTTTTCATATTCAATATTTTCAATATGAAGCGTCTTGAATAGTTAACATTTTGATTGAGAGTAGATTTCTTATTTAACTAATAGAACTAGTATAAATGACTGCACTTAGATAGTGTTTTAAGAGTAAGAGTAGTGTCATGAAGACAATAAAAGCCGTTTAGAAGGCAAAACGATTTTAAATAATAGTTAATTTATTTCCTTTTTCTTGAAATAAATCACTAAAGGACTATAATAAACATTTTGAAAATACAGAAAACAATTTGTTGTTGTTGACTAGGACAACGAATAATTAAACTACAAATAAAAGAGATTTTAGAACAGAAAAAGATACTGTTTGAAACCTACTAGTGTTCAAATAATGAAGAATTCTCATGCAATAGTCTATTTGATTTTAATCTGATTTAAAAAAACAAAAGTACTCAATTTCAAAATGAAATAGGAATCTTGACGGGCCGTAGAATTTTGTATGATAGTGTATTCTTTTTATATCCTTTACTTTTATGACATGTAGTTCTTACGAATCTACAGATGATATATAGTGTATATATAGAGTATGTAATATCCTTTCCATTCTTGAGTGAGAATATGTTGTTAGAATAAGGTTGAAAGTGAGAATGCTATGATTATTATAACCGTGTTTCGTTACTTCTTTTATTTGGTTGTAGGACGTTTCTTGCAAGATATTCTAAGAGAAGCATTGCTTTTTTTAAGACATATTAAACACTCGCAGCTTGGGACAAAGAAGAATGTTTTTTTTTGTCAAAATTCAGTTTGAAATGAGAAGAATATTGACTCTTAAGTCATTTCAAAGTGGTTTCTCACCAAAATTTATACTGAAAATAGCTGCAACATTTGACTGTCGAATAAAAGTTGCTCGAAAATACAAGTGCCAAGATAAAGATAATGTTCGATTTATAACTCCAATATACATCAACTAATGAAAAACGTTGATGCTTACGATTGGAGGTTTTTTGTCGCACATATACACCTAAAATATTAATTCACTATCAAGCAAAATAGTTGCAATTGTTAGAGAAGGGGGCGTAGACAAATTTGTCCATCACTGTATATGTGCGTATACATGGCGATAGATTACTCGACAAGAAACGCACATGTAACTTTGTTGCTTTTTTCTTTCCTGACAAAGATCAAACGAGAAGGTAATAAAAATGCACTGTCTGCTCGATTCATGAATCATTACAAAAGCAAATATTTCTGCATAAAAATCAACCAGCGCAATTTGAAACATGCTGAATCAGGGTAAGATTTTACTGTTTGAAAGGTTGTTTTTAAGACTATCAAGTAAAGTTGAACTCTTTTTAAATTGTCACCAAATCGATAAATAATTGAGCTATTTGAATTTAACAATGATTAGTGTTAACAGTACTTATGTATTTTTTGAGTAGATAAGATTCTATGTGAAATCTAAAATATTCTAAAGTATCCATTGTAATTCTTTTGATTGGAATCACTTAGTAATAAATTTCACTTTCAAACCATTTTATACTTTGAAAAAAGATTACACAATGTTGCAGTGAGAGTACAGTCTTGTAGATAGCGCTAGTGTTGTACAATATTTTTTTTTTAAATATTTTACCTGAGTTTGAGTTTTTGTACATTGAGGAGACACTGAAACATTGTCTGTGGTGTCACGAAAAAGCACTTGGTTTCTATGCAAAAATGTCTAGTAGAAAATATGTATAAAGTTTTTCATTAGTTCAAAGAAGTATTACAAATGCTTGGACTTATTTTGCTAGACACATGCTACAGTATAATAGATACAATTGATCTTAGTAGAATATAAGCAAGACATTGGAGTTGTATTTGTTTGTATTTAAACTACTATATAGTATAGGTGGCAAAGTCATCATTGGATGAAGATCTCTCTCTATTAAACAAATCATGTCGTTTATATTTTCGATCAGATCTCATGTCGAAACAGAATTGTTTTTGTAATGAAATTCATAAACTAGAAACAACTAGTACCGTAAATATTAATTAATAAAAATTCAAAACGAAAGAATATACAGTTTCCGTCATGAGTTCCAAGAAAAGCGAAAATCAAACTAGTCGTAATAATTTCTTACAAAATTCTTGTCCTGTGACTTTGATGAATTCTGTAAATTAATGATTGTCAAAACTATTGTTTGTCTTACATTATCAGGCTTTTATGCTATTTTATAAAACATATCTATAAGAAAAATTATGAATTTGATAAATGATTTATGTAACGATACGGAATAGTATATTGAATATTTCAATTTTATGATGTATAGAGAATTAAATAGTTTATGATCTCGAATTTGTCTTTTCAAGATACATGATCGGAATGTTTACATAAGTGAAATAAAGTATAGCAAATTTTAATAAGTGACATTCTGTGATATAGTGAATGTAGTATACGTTTCACATATTTTTTTTTCGCTTTTTGGATATCCATTCTATGCTATACGAACCTCTAACACCATTTAATTGCAGGTAGCTACACAAAATATTGAATCAAAAACATTGTGAAACTTTAGCATATCCAGCTATCAAAAGCATTTTTTTTGTCGAAAAATTCACATTATTTTTATGCTGTTACAAACCAAAAAATTGGCAAGGCAACTGTTTCGTGCAATCAAATTTGCACGTTTTCGTAGCGTAGACTAAAACTCCTTTCTATACGGTATCATTTCTCAGTAGAACAGTTTTTGATACTAAGTTGAACATAATCAAAATCTAGCTTGTTTAAGCTCATTTGGATGGAAACAAAGATTAAATTCAAATTTCAAAGGGCAAATGTAATGTGCCATTCATTTTATTTTGAAATGAAACAAAATAAGTTCAGCATATTATTCTTACATCTGTGTATATAAAATTTTCTTGTATTTCTGAAAAATTGATGATCAAACAAGGAAGTTTTATCCAGCGTGGTTTCGTGTGATGCAAAGAAAATTCTATTATAGTCAAACAATAGAGTTTTTCTGACGTCACAAAATGGTTACTTATTTTTGTCGTATGAAATAAGGTACCAATAAATGAAACAGAGAATATTACATTTTTTTTTCATTGCAAGCTACACATGTTGAAGTTTCATATTTGTTTTTTTTTATTCACCATTTCATGTTGACATCTGAAATCAACTGGTCTTGTACATTCTAATAGAGAAAACCATGGTCATCTTCTAGTTAAAATAAATTTATTCTTGAATGATTAACTGAAAATAACCGGTGAGCAAAATACTGCAAGTGCCATTCTTTATAGTGTACCCATTAATGAATAGAGTTTGACGGAAGAGTAACCGCAATAGTACAAGAATTTTTCTTGTCTTGTAAGATATGCAAAAGTCATTTGAAAAAATATGTAGAACTGTCAATAAGTTTTAACTAACTATTTTTCAACGCAATACAATAAACATTATCAGTGTTCTATGTTGATATTTGTAGAGCCATATCTAAAAGATCGCTTATTGATATCACCATCATATGAGGAGGCGACCTACCGCCAACAACAAATTGCAAGTTCGTCTTATGTTCCTGTCAATGTTGGTTATATTACTCCTTCAGCCCCAGTGACCATCGATGCAAATTCTGTGCAACCGCAGCCTACAAGACATTCTTATCAAGGCGCTGTCATTACTGGAATTATAGTTGGTGGTGTAGTTATAATAGCTCTCATAGTATCTCTGACGTTTATATTTACAAGACGCAGTTTCGTTACAACACCTACAGCAACGACTACAACAACTAAAAGACCAAGTAATATTCAAACGAGAAAGTTTAATTTTTCTTTCTTCAAATTTGATACATATGCACACTGTATAACTACTGCAGCAATTGCGTTCGAGAGAAAAAGCTTGTTAAAATAACTTCCAATAAGACTAAAATGTGAAACTCATAAAGATGTCATGCTGAACAAGAAAAAATAGGTTTTCGATTTCGTGACCTCATTCAATTTTTTAGATTGTTTAAATTTTTGGTTTTATGAATTCTGAAAGTTGAGAAAAAGAGAATTTAAATATTCCATAAATCTATACAATGTTCCGTAGTTTAAAATCTGCATTTCTTCCTTAACACCAATAATGAGAAAAGAACAGAAATAGATGAGAGATACTAAAGCCATGAAAATCAACATCATAAATCTGCATAAGAATGTATCATAAGTATGAGTGTAGGCGCGTGTGGTGGTACTGTGTGTGTTTAGGATGGATATGAAGGGATGGATGAGAGTGAGAGTGAGTGCAGGATGTGCGAGAGTCAGGATAACAGTAAAGATCAGTTTCTTCTCTTCATCCACACCCACTCTAAATGGATAGTCTCAAACTCTTGCATTCACCGTCACAGTCGTTATCATTCCACCTACAAGATAGCCGCTGAGCCAAAATTCCATCAATCATTTTACCCTTTATTGAAGTGTCATATAAAAACAATGATCAAAACAAATTTTTTTCGCGATTGAAAATTTTTATTTCTTGCTGTTCTTCACCATCCTATCTTATTCCAGTATATTTAAAGAAAATGTAAAGATTTCTTTCAACAGATGAGAATTACCTTAGAAGAGTATTGCTCTAGTTCTAGATTATCATTGAGCATAATTATATTCGGAATTAATTTCTCAACAATTTTTAGTATCAAACCTACATTTAGTATTTTTTTGTTTTTTGATAGTATGTTTCGATGGCGATGGATTTTTGGTAAAAGAAGATGGCTCTCGAGTGAAAATACGTGATATTAAGATAGGTGATCAAATACTTGTGGCTTACGAAACGGCGATTCAAGGGGTTAAACTTCGTTCAAGTCCAGTGCTCGCAGTGGACATCTTTCAGAAATATAATAATGGTTCATCTGTAGATTTTCTAGAAATTCAAGTCGAGTCTAATGTTCGTTTCAAACCACTGCATATCACTCCAAGACATTCATTACTCGTCAAAAAGGAACATGATGTTCAAGTGAAGTATCTCTTTGCGTCTCAAGTTCAGATCGGTGATTATTTGTACTTGGTAGAAGATGACTATCTATCAGCTATTCAGGCTAGAGTGACTAGTATAAAAAATGTTCAACTCTTTGATGCTTACGCACCACTTACCCTTGAAGGAACTTTAGTTGTCAATGATGTTGTGGTCTCTTGTTATGGAACATATGTGCATTCGTTTGTTCATTTGATTATGGCACCACGGCGATGGTTACGCTATGGTACTCTTCAAATCGTATCGTCCTTCATGGGACCTACATATATGAAAAAATATATTGATTATCTACACAATTATTTTTCGACAATTGACTTATTTCGATTGATTATACTCAATCGAATTCGAGATTTCATTCATGTATTTGTATCTGTATGAAGCTATTCTCAATAGCAAAATATATTTCAATGATGGAAGAAATATTAACATTTTAAATTTTGAACATTACCGACATTGGATTTGTCACATTCTGAATACTATGAACATTTTATTAATGACCTGTTATTGTTTCAACTGTATAATAACTCATTTTTGTATATTTAATCAATAAATGTAATAATCATGCAAAAGATTTTTTATTGCAAGGTGCAACAACCTTTCCCTACCTAGGAAAAATTTTCCTAAGAATCTAGATCACATCTTTAATTGATTTTCGATTTAGCTTCTCAGAGACGTTTTAGTGAAACGCTTTTTGAATCGTTGTAAATACTGAGATCATATCAAGACTAATCGAAACTTGAGAAAATACATTATAAACCTCTTATCCTCGCCTTCTAGTTTCACATTTGAAAACCATGGAAAGTATTCTGAATCCATAAGGAAAAACTCATAGAAGCTCTAGCTAATACAACACTCAAGAAAATTATAGGTTGCGTCAGTTTTAATCATATCCCGTTAGTGAATGCAAGTTTTTAGCTAATCACTTGACATCAGTTTTCTCTGTGTCATAAAACCTATTCTATGGTGCAAAACAGTTAGTGTATTCAGCATTATCTGATAAACTGTAACTAAAATCATCAGAGATTGACAATTTTCTTAGCGTCATTCCTTCATAAATGTACTTCATAGCTTTTCACAACCTGAGACTGCGCAAGTTTCGACATTTGAAAATAAAGAAAATGAATATATTCGAATTCAGAAATTATCGAAAAACTTTCTTTGTTAAGAAGAAACATGTTGCTATTTTCATTGCTTTTGTATTACTACCGAATGAGGCAATAATTGAAGATGTTGATTGCATTTTACTAGCTTTCTTTACTACCAATGAAAGTTGTCATACAACTGTTTATTATGTACTTCACAGAAGTTGTATCGACGAGCATGAGACTTGTTTTTCAAAACTCATATGAGCGCAAAACGTGCATTTCGCATTATCAATGCTTTAGAAATTGTAACTTGTTTTCAAGAACGATTGCGTTTTATGTCCTACATAGATGGAACTCACCTTATTAAACTCCATCGGGTTCTAGAAAATCTCACGGTGCCCAATAATTGAAGCTATTGGATGTTTTTCCATCGATTGACAACAACATCCTGTTGAAATTTGTCAGATCCACGTTTATCTAATTTAGAATTCGGATCCGAATATTCGAAGTCATCGAATATTTTCAAATCTTAAGAAACCTGACGATTTTTGGTAGGAATTCGATAAGAGAGTTATACATCTGCTTAAACATATTGTGTGTTATTTACACTGTACTTTTGTGAAGTAGATCGTTGTTAATTTTCCTTTGGTGATCGATTGGGAAAATGCTTGATTACTATCATCAAATCTATAAATGACAGTTTATATTCATGACCATCGAAGATTTACGAAAGTATGTAAGGAGACGTCAAATTTATCAATAAACCAACAAAATGATCATTTTCAATCTTGAAGCCTTCTTCATACGTATCTACCATAGTTCTTGGCGAAATTCATCGAGAAGCTTCTGACATTGTCAAACTTGAAAATAATTAGATCTAAAAGCATGACAAGCAATGTCAACAGCTTGCGATGCAGATTCAGTCGTTTCTATATATTGATGGAGACTTTTCAATGCTGTTACCATGTTATAATAAGGTAAGATCAGAGGAGGATGATTGAATGGATCATATTTCTCGTAGATGGTAAATGCTTTCTTACAATATGACAGTGTAGTCGAGTAGTCTTTCATCCAATTTTGCACTCTAACAATGTTTTTAGAGATCGTAGTCACTGGTGGATGACGAGATGAAAAATGAATGAGTGCTGTTTTGAGTGTGATTGTCCAAAAATCTTGAATAGTTTAGTATATTTGTTTTGTGCTCAAAACACTATATCTAGGATCGATCGTTCAGATCAAATGAGTCTCATGAGCTTGTTTTTTTCAGCTATCATTCCTTTTGATTCTGATATGTTCTAGTTTCTTTATTGAGTTTAGATTCTCCTCATGTTTATTAAAAGAAAACACAAATGCTTTTCTGGTATATGTCATTTGGGAAACGTTTGATTCTACTGCCAGGAGTATTTTGATACTTAAAGAACCCACTTATCTTGAATTGCGATGAATAATCGGTACATATTTGAATTTCAGAATACAAATCATTCATTGGAAGATCATAATTTAATACGAACAGCCTCCGTAGAGATTATTGCTAAATAAGTCCTCACAACCATCTTCAAGGTGACAAAGTAATTATTATCTTTAGACTAGTGTCCCTTTCACATGAAATACCAAGAAAAAAACGGTTAGTGTTTCAAGATTTTATTGGTAAAAACTATTTTTAATAGAAAATAAGTCTGATATTCGGAATCAGGATGAAAAAAATATAATGGACAATTTAGTTTTCAATTGAAAATATCTCATATTAAAATTTGGCTTGTACTCTCTTTTAGTCTTTTAATGGTGAAATTTTATCTTGTAAAGTGTCCCAATGTCAAACTTATTTTACATGAAAAATAATATTTGGCAATCAAAATCTTGGCATACTAGATGTTTTTTTTTCGATACTTTTCGTCGATACGATCCCAGAATTGTCGATTATTTTGAAAAATTAGGAGGAGCTAAAAATTCGGCAGAAAGTGTTTTATCTGACTTTCTGACACACACTGAACAAATACGGCTGAATTCATCGATCTTCCGCGAGACTTTGTTTACAGAAAGTGTTTTCATTCGACTTTCTGCCAGAAAAATGGCAAACAGTACTTAAAACAGGATTTCTGCTAGAATTTACCATGAGATTTCTTAAAATTTGGCAGAAAGTATCAGAAATTTTCGCAGAAAGTCGGACATGTTTTCAATTCTGGGCGGAAAAATGACCCCACCATCCACTCTTAATCGAGAACCATGTAGGACCCTATTCTAAAGATATGTTGGAGTTTTGAATTCATTCGTAACCATTGAATATCGAGCAATCAAAAAAATTGTTTCGCCATACGCTCATTTTCGAGAGCTTGGACACATTTCAAATACTCGAAGAGACGAGGCTCATTGAAAAGAGTCTTTCGTTTGCTTGATATGATTCCGATTAGTTGAAGCTCATCGAAATATTAAGTGTTCAGCGAGAGTAAATCTATCTTAAAAGCACTTTCCCATGCTCATTTTAATTATGATTGTTGAAAACTTCTGCGAAACTCGGTCTCCAAATGCTTCTTCACTTTTATTGCATGATTTTACATTGTTTCATTATTTGAACACTGTTATTTATCAACTGCAACTGAAATTATAATAGTAATAGGTTTACATTCGTGATGAAAAGACACTCAAAATGAAATTTAATTTTTGAACACTTCAAACATACTGGGCTTTTTAAATCATTCTAATTTTTGATCACACGTTAGCAAACAACTGTCGATGGGATATTTTCGAACTGTCAATTTGTTTTTCAGTCTTCTAAACTATTGAAATAGTTGAAGACTCAAAATTTAAGGGTCGTAGTTCGACGAGATTTATCATTATTCTGTTTTCAATATTTTTTACATTATTTTTTTTTTATATTAAAATTTATCATAACATATGATTATGTTTGACCTATTGTCCAATAAAGAGCCTAGTCGCAGCTAATCATAATATTTAAAATTTATAACTTTAATTATAAAACATCTCTGATCTCAATTACAACAAGAAGATTAATTTGTCAATATCGAACTAATGCAGAAAATTATTTACTATGGAATATTGCGATTCATTTGCGTTTATAAAAATTGCAAGAACAATGTTTCTAATCAAGTTTTGTTTTTCTATTCACGATCAAATGGTTCATCCTATTAAATAGTAAATATGTCTGGACAGTTCGTCCTAAAACAAATTAAATTTTTATTTTTCCCTTGAGAAAATTCATGCAGAGCATCTTAATTCTATTGATACTCAATTAAAAATAGCATACGCTCAATTATATTGTTCATCTGTATTTCTTTCTCTTTAGAATAATAAACACACAATATGATCTCTTGAGAAAAAAAAACATGACACATTAGATTTATTATTGCACTAGTAAAACAAAACAAAAAAACTGTACAACATAGAGAAGAAAAAAAAAAGAGAAGAAATCTATTAAAGTATTTCATCTTCAAATGAATGACTCATTTTAACATATGTTGCTGATGACGAACTTGATAAAGATGATGATTTATTTGTTGGTGTTCGATCAGTAAACGTTGTTAAACGAGTTGAATCATTTGTAGTTGTTGTTGATATTGATACTGTTGTCATAGCTGTAAATTGTGGTGATGGAGATGATACTAATAATGTATCATTTTCAGCATCTTCGTTTAATGATGATGAAAATGATGGTGTCAAATCTGGTGTTTTCTTATTATTTAAAGATTTTATTCTTGTATGTCGTTGTAGCAAATAGAAACAACAAATAATAAGAATAATTATAGTAAAACATGCTAAACTAATAAGAATAATTGAAATAAAATAAATAAATGTACGTTGATCAAGTTGAATTGAAGATAAAATTGAATAATTTTGACATTCAGATTCATTAGAAACAATTAAAAGAATAAAATTTTTATATATTGAAGATAATACGTTCGATTTTCCATTATCTTGTAAATAAATATCAAATGTGTATTCTTGATATAATGGTGGTACTATTAAAGTTCCATTTGAAAAAAGTATTATATTCATTGATGAAGGATTTAGCATAGAAAATGATATATTTCCATTATCATTTTCATCTGGATCATAACCTTCTAATTTTAGTTGAATATTTTTATTACTATTTGTTGTATTATATATATAACAAAATGGTGATTGACTTATTATCATTGGTTTATTATCATTTTGATCAAGAATTAAAATTTCTATAGATATTAAATCTGTATATAATGAATCATTTGCAATAATACGAAATTCAAATTTATTTATTTGTTCACGATCAAAACTTTTTTTTGTATATAAACTTCCATTAGATTTTAAATCAATAAAATCTTTTATTTGATCTAAATCATCTGAATGTATTTTATAAATAATTTGATCATATTTATCTTTTTCTTCAGCTTGAATATGATCAATAAATGTATAATTATTTTGATTTTCTTCTAATTCATATTGAATAAAATTTGTTAAAAATTTAACTGGATTATCATTTAAATCATTTACATAAATTGATATATTAACAAATGTTTGATGTCCAATTATATCTTCAGCTAGAATAGAAAATTCATAAAATGATTGTTTTTCATAATCAAGATTTTCTAAAATAATTAATTGATTTTTTTCATTTAATTGAAATATATGATTATATTGTTGTTCATTATTATTAAATTTAAGTTCAAGTTTAACTTGATCATTTTCATCAGGATCAAATATTTTAAATGTATGAAGAATAAAATTTTCTTCATTATTTTCATCAATATAAAATGAATAATTTGTTAAATTTTCAAAAATTGGTGAACAATCATTAACATCAATTAAATATAATTCAAAATGATTTTCTATTGAATGTTTCAGTTGACCATGATCATATGCAAATAATGTAAATTTATAAAATGATTTTTGTTCACGGTCAAATTGTATATTTGTTTTTAAAATATAAGTATTATCAGTGATTTTTTCTAATTGAACAACTGAAGTTTCATTAAATGATGAAATTAATTTCATTGCTACACGTCCATTTTCATTACTATCACAATCAGAAACTGTCATATATAGAATTGGTGTGTTAAGAGAAATATTTTCTAAGATATATATTATTGAATTATTTATAAATTTAACATCAGATGGTGAAAATGTAAAAATTTCTGGTGTACAATCATTTTCATCAACAACCTAGAAAAATTGATAGGATTAATTAGAAAATATGATTAAGAGATTTTTACTTGTATAATAACTGTTGCATATGTTGGAATAGAATTAGATCCACAATCTTTAGCTTGTATTTGTAATTCATAGTTATTTCTTTCTTCATAATCTAATTGTTTTAATAGAGTAATTGAACCATTATCAGGATTTAAATTAAATATTTTATTAATTGTTACATCATTTTGTGTCCATTTTGAAAATGTATATATAATTTTTCCGTTAAGACCTTCATCTGGATCAAAAGCTTTCATTTGAATAAGTTCTGTATGAATAGGACTTAATTCAGATATATTAATAATTAATGGTGATTGTTGATCATGTTGAAATTTTGGTGAATTATCATTAATATCTGTAATTGTTAATATAATTTTTGTACAACATGAACGTTTTTGATTCGATATACCTTCATAAGCACAAAAATTAAAATAATATTTATCACATAATTCTCGATCTAATTCTTCAATAATAATCATTGATGGTGTTAATTGATTATCAAGACGAAATTCTGAATAATTATTTGATACAATTGAATATGATTGAATATTATTTGGTGTTTGATCTGGATCATGTGCTATAGGTAAAATAAGACGAGTATTTAATGGTACATTTTCACTTATATTTAAATAATAAATATCATTTGAAAAAAAACAAAAATTATCATTTTCATCAAGAATAATTATTGGTACATAAATTATATGTGTATATATATCACTAAGAGCATTTATTTCAAGTTTAAGTAAACATTCATTTGAACATGAACATATACCCAAACGACAAAGATCTTCACGATCAAGTCGACGTTTAACTGTTATTGTACCTTTAAGATCATCTAAGAGAAAATAAGATATAACTGATGTTCGAGTTAAAAATGTAAATTCCCAATTTGATGATGGTAATATATTTATTAATTGAGTTATTGATGTACCTATTGGAGATAATTCACTACAATTAACAGGTGGTAGACGTATATAACGTGATTGAGTAAGAGATATAAAAGTAAAAAATAGATTGACTATTAACCATAGCCACGAGCAGGACATAGCAGCATGGTTATTACATCAATTCAAAATAAATAATATATTCTAAAATAATCAATAAAGAAAAAAAAAAAAAAAGAATTGATAAAAAATTTTTTTGTTTTTTTTAGTGTCCTAAAGTCAGATCACTATTATCTCTTTTGACCATCTCTTTTTTTTTATCATCTAAATATACACAGACATACGCTCACGAATGGTTATCGAATTAACTGATACTGTTCTTTATCTTTCTTATTGTCCGATTTGAGCATTACTATCATCATAACGTATGGTACCAACAGCTTGTGCATGTCTGTTTATTTTTTAAATGTGTTCTTCTGTATGTTCTGCCTTTCTTTCTCGTTTGAACTTGAGCCGCTAATTGACGAGATAGATGATCGGTGACTGATTTCATACGTCTTCTATAATTCTTTTTCCACCAGTCTCAAATGTCGTTGGTACAATGAAGTAGAAAAAAAACGGATGATTTATCAGTATGTTAAAAAAAAAAAATCATTGATATTCCAGCTGACACGCTGCAACAGATTTTTGACCTTTAAATCTTAAATCGACTATCTCACTCACTCTTTCTCTCTCTCTCTCTCTCTTTCGATGATAGTTACCTTGATGATGAACTTTTAATAACTTATATATCTCTGTCTAATTCAGCTGGCATTTATCCCTCAATAATTCTAGTATCGTACTTACATAAGTCAATGGTCACAATTATAACAATTGTGGGAACTATGTTAGATGAGGTTTTTTTTTTTTTGTATTTTATGGTTTATAGTTCGGATTACATAGATAAATGCAGAGTTGTATAAGATGATTTTTTAATGATTTATGTGAATCAAAGGAAAAGAGAAGCGAAGATGAATGTCTTGAGATCATAATCAAGTCTATGCACGTTTAACGGAAACAAGACACGAACTATGACGGATATTTAAATTTGACATAAAGAATAATAGGAGTAAGAATGAACAACAAGAGGAAGGCGGATGTGAAACGAAATCACTCGTAAAAATGAGCGTTGATTGCACGCGGCAGCGTATATTACTCGAGTGTGTAATTGTGAGTAGAGAAAAAAGAGAACGAGAGAGCAAAAGGGAGGAGGTAACTAAAGCAAAGAAAAAGAGAGGATCTAATACGCACGCGACATATACAGAAGAAAAATGATCGTATGTCTCGAGTTCAATAATTGATTTACACAATGTGGGAATCGTGATCGCGTCTACGAACACTATTGCACTAACTCGGTGGACGTGGACCGGAAAAGACAGCCATCTCTTTTTTTATTTCATGCTGTCGTAACATGGGAGATTTGTTTGCTATTCATTCACTTACTCATTTATTCACTCATACACTTCATATCGGCAAGGACATTAGTTCGAGAATCAAAAGCTGCTTTGTGCATTCTCAATTTTCCGGTTTTTTTTTCTTTTTTTCTCTCTCTCTCTCTCCTCTTCTTCCTAATCGATACCTTGTAATCGTAGTGTTAAGAAACTACTTTCATCCGAGAACTTTCTTCATTTAATATCACACTTCCATAAATAGAAACACTTAACATGGAAAATGGAGTGATAAAAAAAAAAGTGTTTCATTGTTAAGTGAAATAGACTGATGACATTCATGTTACAAAAGAAAATTTGTGTTTATATGTACAATAAAACAAATATATTATTTAAACAAATTAGACCCAACGGGATGTTTAGCCTAGTCTTTCTATATATAGGATTAGAGGGAAAAAAGGCATAGCATCTGTTTTTTTTCTATTTTGATGATATTCAACAAAAATACGGTTTATATCTAATCTAAAATAGTAATCAGCGTAGAAACTTTCTGACATACATTCATACATTACATATATCCTGTTTGATCAGATAATCGTTCGAGCCGATTTTTTTTTTCTAGTCTCATGACTCGATACTGTTTCTTTGTTTGTGCTTATATGAGAATACGTCAAACTGACATTCTTCTATCAAATTAATCAAGTATCTATCTTCACTTAAAATAATCTATGTATTACTGACCTTGTTCTCTACTGCCATCATATCGACCTTTTAAATTGACCCGTAAAGAGAAATAATGATGACAATTTAAAATGAAGGCCATATGCAAGGATAAAGAATCAATCCCTCTTCACCGTCATCGACATAGATCGATAAGAAGTATATGTATATATGGTCTATTTGTCTCCTATTAGCTTTCCACTTTGCATTCACTTACCAATGTCGTAGTCGCTGTCATTCATCGTTTGAACAATTAGGCCTACAAATATATAAATGCACACCAATATGTGAGTAAACAAAGTTTAGCTCGTCAAGTGTTAGTCTGTCGTTGTTCATTCAACACTCATTCTCTTCTTTTCTTTTTTCTATTTTTATTATAATCAATCTTCTAACAAGAAGAAAGATTTCCAACTGTGTAGTATAAGAGAGCTGTTCGATACAAATGATGTATCACGATGCCACTCTTCGATCAGATAGAATGGACAGACAGACAAACATGATGACGGAGAGATCGATTCGAACGATTACATACATCTATTGAATTGAAAGGGATTCATTGACTACTCCTCCTTTCACGGTGTGTATATGTCCTCTTATGGTATGTATGAACATCAACAGTAGTAAGAGTAATGGGAGAAAAAGAAACAATAATACTACCAGACAATGAACAAGAGAAAAAGAAAGAAAAAACAGATTGGTTTTTATCATCATTTTTTTGCCAATTTTTCTTTGCTCTCTGTCTTTCTTTCCTTAAGCGTCAAGCATAAAAGAGAGAAAAAAAGAAGAAGAAGAATGGTCACTATATGTTTTGAAACATGTAGACACTTTGTCTGCTATTGAACGAGTCAATAATGACTCTCTTAACTTCAGCTGCCGCTCAACCGAGCGAACAAGTATATTAAAGTGAGATAGAGAGAACCTCGAAGATAAAGTAGTCAAAGCCAACTCACCATCTTTTACTGATACCAATAACATAGACCCTCAAGAAATAAGAATAAATTACATTTTTTTCTTTTCTTTCTTCTTCAACTTCTATCCAGAACACCAGAGACAGATTGACAAGCAGACATTTTATGTATATATATATGCATGCATATGAAATAGTCCGCTTTTCAGAAATGACTAGTTACTCATATGTATAAATCCAGATTTTATCAAAATCAATGGCTGGTGGTCATTTTATCAAAAAGACAGACAACAGAACATATTAACTATTGACCTCATTGTCACTCATCGTTTTCTTTTTTTCTTTTCTTTTTTTTTGATGTCCCGATAAAAATGACACGTGTGTCAATATCTCTTCATTTACACACGATACCATTACATCATCATCATCAACAGCAGTGTTTAAGTGATGGAAATGGCCAGTTGTCTTTGTATTTTATATATACCGGTTCTTTTTTCTAACCATAATTCCGGTGTTAATGCGATCAAGATAAGATAACGAATATATATTTCACATTTTTCACCTTTACTTTCTCTACTTTAATGTCCATTTCCGTTGTCCAAGTGGTTAGTTAAGATTCATATAAGCCCAAGAGGCGCCGGTCACTTTACTCATTGATGCGAATAGCACGTCTTCCGTACTCAATCACATTTACTTTCTCCCCTTTTTTTTTCCTTACAGGCTTTAGTCAAAATAAAAAATGAGAATGATAATGATAGTGATGATGTTCAAAATAATAGTGATGGGTACGATAAGACTTTGTTCCTATTAATTTTCTCATACAACACCCACTTAGATACACACCTGTGTCAAAGGACATCGAAATGGAGAAAGTGAATCTTCTCGTTGTCACTTACTTGAACTCCATTAGAGTGTGACGTAAGATGAAAGAAAAAAAAAGATAATGAAAAGAGATATCAGGAAGCCTGAGAATGAAAATGAATTGTGTAACATCTTGTTGCTATATGATGATCATCTGAACTGTATATATATATGTGGTGGAGCCTTGCGGGCAGCCTTCTTATTTTTTTTTTTAATACAACATTGTAATTAGATCGTCGTCTGTCGATAAGTGAATCATTTCGATTTCCAATCGATGCACGTGTTACTTTTATTACAAGCTCTCATATTTAATTCATTCAAAACGAGTTGGGTGGAGCATTAAATCAACCAACTGGACATAAGACATATATAAAACATCTCAATTAGATAGGCACCAGCAGCAGCAGTAGCAATAGTAACATACGACGGTCAATTTACTTTAACGATTGAATTAGATTTTGCTAGTCGAACAAATGATATACACACATGTCACATCTCTCATTTTACAACAACAACACATGACTAAAAAATAGAGCGTCTAGCATTCGAGTGTGACTATAGAAAAAGTATGGACAGACGCGTGCGTGTTTATGTAGAGAAGAACAGATAAAGTCATAAAAGAAAAAGAGATACAAGCATCTATTTTGTAGTTAATTTTTGTGACAAACATAATGATAAAAGTTTGGTTGGCATCTAGTATGATTAACGATCACGAAATAAGCGTACCAATGGGGACAATACAACACATAAATATACAATCTATTTGTCGTTGTGTGACTGAAGGACATAACACAGACGTCATTATGTTAAATTGTGTCACACCTATTCTCTTTTTTTTAGTAACATGAAATTTTTTTGTATTTCATCATATAGTAGAAAATTATGATGAAGACCATCATTATCATCATCATTATCATCATTGATTGTATTCTATTATATTATTTTGAAGATGACATCATCACGCTTTTATGTAACTTTATAAAATAACTGGACATATAATAATAGAAGACTAATTAATAAATGGAGAACAATTCATATCATTTCCGATTTTTTTATATATTTTCCGGTAGATAACCTTCTGTAACATATGTCAAGATTCTACTTGGGCTTTGAAAGAGCGGTCAAGATGATTACATATAAAAATTTTATGAGAATAAAAAATTTTTTATTTAAAACAAGCACAAACTGTATGTATTAGGATTTCTTTACAATATTCTCTTGTAGCTTTACAGATGTTTAATAGATTTAATAAGCGGAAACGATAAAAATAAAAAAGAGTAATTTTTTTCTAAAAATATGACGATGACCTTCGACCTATAATTCTTTTAAATAGTTTTTGTTCAATGAAGTAAAAAATAATTTCCTGTCTATTGAATATATAAAAGTAAATGCATCAATTATATTCTTCAGAAAAATATAGTTCGGCATATAAATTAAATTTTTCTTTAATGAAAACTATCCGTAGAAAGGATTGAATATCAAGTAAAGAAAAGAAAATGTTTATATGCGAACATTATATATGAGTAGATTTTCTCTCATTACTCTTTTACGTTGTCGCACATAATTATGTTAAACGATATTGATCTCCCATGGATTCATCATAGAACGTAATACGAGATAATAGGAAGCGACTAATCTGAGAAAAATGTGATAGCAATATTCTATTCGTTTTTTTTTGACACTTACAAATACGTAAATCATTTTACAGTCAATGACTTTTGATAAACGATGTAAAATTGTTCAATGCCACTGGATAATAAAAGAAAATTAATGAATTGCTTTTGTCAGTCGAACGTTGTTTTAGTAATTGATGTGTATGATATATTTTTTACTATATTTTTTTTTCTTCATTTATTCTTAATATTCTATATTCTTAGTATTTTTTTTCATTTATGATATATTTTTCTGATAATGCTACAGGCGCACTCTAATGCATGAGACGACCTTGTCTATACATTTTGACAATCTTCAGAAATACTCTAAATGCGTTCAATAGCTATTCTGTTTTTAAAACCATAAAAGTTCATTATGAAAACTATTCTCGACTTGTTTTTCTAAACATTCAAATGGCGTAAAGAATATTTTTAGTGAATGCATTAGGAAATGGAAAATCTGTCATGTCGATACGCATGCTATATTATAAATAATATTATATATTTATTATTATCTATTGATAATAACCATTTCTTTTGAAAGAATTTATCTGAAAATTGATACATTCTTAGTATTTATTAATGAACTGAATTTGCAAGAGATATTAAATATATCTTTATTTGAAAAGGATAAGAATATCATATGAATGATGTCGATAAAAACAAATATTTGAAAAAAAAACCAAGTTTTTGTTATTTCTACATGCAACATTGCAGGATGATATAATATTTATATTTTATACACATTTAGAATATAGAGTGTCCGGAAAGTCATTAGAGTTAGAAAAAACTGAATATCTCCGCTATGTCTCGAGCAAACAGGCTGATCTTTTTACCAATAACTGAGACATGTTCATACTTCAAATCCATACGGACAAGGTTAGCAAGAGCCTTTGTTAAATACCATCAATGACCTTAACAAAAAACTTTTTACTTTTTTACAGATAGGAAAAAACAATAGACTTAACAAAGAGTCTCTCTAGGCATGTCTTTATGAATACAAAGCTTGAACATGGCTCTATCATTGATAAAAGAATCAGCTCGTTTACTTCAGCCGTAGTGAAGATATTCAATTTTTTCTTGGCAAAGTGACTGTTGCGCCACTCTGTATATTGTTTTTTTCCTATCTATAAAAAAGTAAAATGTTTTTTTGTTAAGGTCATTGATGGTATTTAACAAAGGCTCTCACTAACCTTGTCCGTATGGATTTGAAGTATGAACATGTCTCTATTATTGGTAAAAATATCAGCCCGTTTGCTCGAGCCGTAGCGGAGATATTCAATTTTTTCTAACTCTAGTGACTTTCCAGACACCCTATAGTTAATCTAATATAAGATTATAATAAAATTTAATTGGATATGATTGATACGACTATGACGAGTATTTAAAATAGAATTCTAAAATAGAAAGTTGAATTTTTTTCTTGTTGTTTTTGAGAAGATGAAATTCTTGCCGAAGAAGAACTAAGTTATTTTAAGAAAGCAACCGGAAACTTTATTTTTTGTCTCGTTTGTCAAGTGTATTTTAAATTGTTAAAAAAGCAGAAGTCATTTAAATATATCATTGAATATTTTTTGAACCTTTGAAACTATTCTGAAAATAGTCTTTCTTTGATATTTATTAATCATATATAACATTTTTATATTTTTGAAAAAGAAAAATTTCACCTGTGAAGCGTTCTCTCAAACAAAATATTTCATTCATGAGATTCCAGTTTTTCTTCACAAATAATTTCTACTTCTTTGACATTATTTCGAACAACAAAAGGCTTGAGAGTATTCCATCAATCAATAAGATTTTTATTCTTGTGACATTTCCAATACAAACAATAAAAAAGAACTAATAGTTTTAACCTTTTGATAGTCTATATCATTATCTTCTGTAATAATGTTCAATTAACCGTCTCATCTAAGTAATCTACAAATGAAAACATTTATCTCAAAAGATCAATTTTCTTTTGCTTAAGACATTGTTACATAAAAATTATCAAAAATATTCTAGATTCTTGAATTTTGTGTGTAGGTTCTTTTTTGTATTAAATTTAACTATTCCAATGACTAATGATGATTCATCCGAATAGTGTTTGTGCGTTATATATATGTAAAAGTTGTATAAAATTTTATAAATTAACGTCTTCTAAATCATAAAACTTCAACTTTATTCGATCTTTTACTTTAATATTTGCTTAGTAATGAACTTCTATTTGATTAAAAAAAAAAACTTCATTTTCATTGTGTTTGTGCCAAAAAAATATTGACCATGATTGATGTCAATACGTTGAAAACAAAAACGATGATTCATTTTTTTTTTAACCTATAACATGATTAACAACTGGCAATATTCTTAAATTTGTTTGTATCATGATAAAAACATATAATATAAGATGCAATAATATTACTGCAACGTTTTTCACTACAAGATGTTTGATCTTATTTTTCTTCTCGTTATTTTTACTAATAACTGTTGTAGTCGACGAGTAGATGAGAAAATAAAAATTAAAAGTAAGAAACTCAATCAGTACATTTTTTTTTCTTTTGATCAAGTTTTATACTTTTTGGGACAACATGAATACATAAAATAAATTTTTTCACATGTGCAAAGAGAAAGACACAATAAGATTTTCTGTTTTTATCATGAGAAGAAGATTAAGAAGAAAAAAAATAAGAAGAAGAGAAAAAAATGACCTTTGAATTAAAATTTCATTTAAAATATAATGAATAATTCATGAACGTACATGCGAATATTATATATAAAAATTTTTGGCTTATTTTTGTTAGATACATTAACAACAGCAACAAAAACAAAAAAAAACGATTATAAATAAAAAGAATTCATCACATTGTTGTTTTCTTGTTGTTGCTACTCAAGTATTTAGCTTTCAAATATTTTTTTTTCTTTTCATTGATTCATTCATTTGAAAGTAAATGGCGTTTACCTTTACTTACTGAATTACGATTACCAAGATGAAATGAACGCCTCAAAGTATCAAATCGTTGACTAAGTGTTAGTTTTTTATGATTTATGTCGTCGTGATCATCATGATGTTGATAGTCAGGATCTTCATCAATACAATTCTGTATTTTTATATGTTGTTGTTGTTGTTGTTGTTTTATATGACTTTTTTGAAGTAAAAGAGATAGACGTGTACGAAATGATTGATTAAATTTGGTTTTCTTTGTTAATGATTTTTGTTGTTGATCATTTGATGATGAAACACAATCAAATTCATTATTTTCAGTTTCACAAAGTGTTGAACAATTTTGATTTGGTACAGACATTCTTAAATGAGGAAAACATTGAATAATAAACAAAAATGAAAAATAAAGAAATTTTATCATATTATTCATACGATTGATAAATATGTGTTGGTGCTAATGGTGCTTTTCGTCGTTTTGGTGAAATTTTTATTTTCTCATTTTCTTTTGTTGATGTTGTTTCGTTTGGTAAGACAATCGGTGATGTAAGACCTGTTGATATTGGCGGAATAATTGTTTCTACTGGCAGATTGTCATCATGTTTTTTTAATATTAAATGTTTATTTGAATTTGTACTTTCAAGTCGAGGACGTTGTCGTGTTAAAGTATTTCGAAATGATTTTCGAATTTGATATGTTAATTTATCCAATGGACGTACACGAGTCTTGGTATTTGATGGTAGTGAAAATGGATCATCATCATCATCACCATCAATATGATTCATGTGATTATTATTAGCATGTTCAGATGTTTTCAATTTTGTTCTATCTGATAATGATGAAGGTGGTGGTGAAGATGATGAACAACGACGTCGTTGTCTTAGAAAACTTTTTGATTGTTTTGATTTTACTAAATTTGAATTTGAATTTGAAAAACCATTAGGATCAATACGTGGATAAAGGTGATCATCATCAACAATTTCTTTTTGTCGACGAGAGCTAAATGATTTACGTAGGCTATACTTCATTCTTAAATAAAAAGAGAAGGTTTGATAAAAATCGTTTAATAAATTATCTATCCATAAATAGATCACACAGCCTTGAACAGATTTTTATACGTAATATAAAAAAGTGGCGTGAGCCAAAAAACATAACAATAATTACAATAAGAAAAAAAAAAGAGTCATACCAAGGCCGCCACTATTTTTTCTTTTCTCATTTTTCTTTTTTGTCGGCTCAGTTTTACTTGCATTCAAATAAAAAGAAGAATATGAGTGTGTGTGTTTGTGCATGTTTATTACGAATTAGAATCTGAGTAAAAAAAAATGAGAGAAGGTGGCCAAGAAGAAGAAGAAAAAAAGTTGCTATCGCAGCAACATCAGCCACAAGAAAAGTACGTGATGTGTATGCACCCGAAGATTTCAGATAAAAAATAAAAAACAGAAAGAAAAAAAGTGTAGGCGTGTATAGAAGAATGAAGTAGGGTAAACAAAAGAAGGGATGAAGAAAAAGAACCTAATATGAAAATGTCGAGCACGGAACTTCTTCTTTCTTTTTATTGAAATAATAACAGCAAAGCAACATGTCATGATTGTCACATCCTATAATGAACATTTCTTGTCGCCTGTGTTCTTCATTCGAGCACAAGAGGGAAGAATTAATGAAATAAATGAGTCCTGATTGAGAAACTAGGCAAAGAACAATGCGGAAATAAAAGCAAATTTCTGATAGAGTAACATGATAATGATATGATGCATCGGTATCTTAATATACCTAAAAATAATATGCCGTCATTTATATCACATGGAAAGAATTAAATTAACGGAGAAGGAGATGTGTAGAATATCCAAAAGTTGTCTACAATGAGTTGCTAAGTATGTCATCATCATAATAAATAGTCAACTATCACGAACGAAAGAAAAAAAAATCAACAATATCTCTATATGCTAACAAGTCAGAAAATCTATCTGTATGTAAACGTAACATTTTCTTCTGCTTTTTCTTTAGTTCTACAGTCATCTCTCGTCTTTGTTTCCTTTGTCATCATATCGATCATATGAAAATGACATTAGTCCTTGTCGTTCTTCTTATTTATAGAAAGCGAGGGAGAGAAAAGAGCCAAACAAACAATTGGATATACATGTGTATGGCTATATATGCCTGTTTTAGACAAAGAAAGTGTTTTATTAAAAGGTTTCGTTTAGCTTATATTTATATATTTAAAAGTATTCTACATTATAAAGCATATTGAAATAATGAAGAATTTATTTTCCGACTATTCTATTTGACTAATGAATTTTGTTATTAAAGTATATTCTAAATGCTAGGAAAAAAATGGTGACAAGTTTGATTAATAATATGCATGATTTCTCATCATTTGAAAAATGGATTCAACAAACCTAGATGTTTAACTTGAGACAAATTTATTTAACAGTTATTTTTATGCAAATGTATTCGTAATGACTTAGGAACGTTGTTAAGAAATTATTTTATTCAAAAAGTAGTTTAATTTTCTCTCTAATATATTTTGATTGGCACAATAATTAATTGAACAAAATAACTTCCTGAGATCATATTTTGTCTAAAAATAGTTCAAACTAAATTTCTAAAAAACAAACAAAAAGAAAAAAAAACGAGAGGTCGAGCATATTATTCCGTCTCGATGTTTTGACAAGATAAGACCACAAAAGATTGTTTTCTTTTTCCTGTCAGACCTCGATCTAAGATATGTATTTAGCAAGATGAAAAAAAATAGATGATATTTTCTGTAACAAGCATAAAATAAATGTCAATTAGATGACAAATTAATATTTTCTGCATTGTTAAACTTCGTCGGAATGTGGAATTAATGAATACATGATCATAGAAGAAAACAAAAAGAAAAGCCGATTCCCTTTTTATCAATCAAAAGAAGAATAAAAAAAAAACAAAAATAGTCATTTGTATTCATCTGTCCTTTTTCTGGAATTCTTTTGTTTATGGTATTCAACAAGCATGATTTCTAACAAAAGAAATATATAAAATAATTCTCAAAAGATCTTATTCACATATGGATAATAAAAACCATAAAGAAAACTTTTTCTTCTTCAATAATCTATACCCTACTTTAGAACAAATATATTCATCTGTTTTAATTGAATAAATTGCAACAACTAATAATCTATCATGAATTCCTAACTGGGCTTTAAGTGCAACTATTGATGGTTCTAGTGATTCATCTCTTTTATTAAATATTCTTCCAACAGATATAGTTGATAATTTATTTTCAAAATTATGTAGGTCAAACAAACTGGAATGAAATGCAACAGAATGATGGACATGTACTACATGATATGTTTATTCAAGAAACAATACAAATTAAAAATGGTGATGAATATGAACCACTTTATCGTTAACCAGCTGATGAACAATCTGAACTTATAACATGAACACCAACATCATTTATAATAAAACAACGTATTAAAGAAATTATCGAACAAAATTAAAATTATGCATTAGTATAATATTATTGTAACTGGAAAAGATTTTATTGTTGAACATTCTTGTAAAACATTAGATGTAGTAATAATTGGATTAAATATAATTATTTATAGTTTAGACACTGCTCGTACAATAATTCTTAGACATAAAACTCAAGATGCTTTAAAACAATGTTTGAAACTACCTCATTATTTTTATTAGATTAGAAAATTAATCGTAAATAGTTTTATTCAATTAAACAAGATAATCAATTAGGTATAGATAAAATTCTAATGATTTAGCTTTTTCAAGTCAATCTATATCATTAACATTCCGTACAATAGCTCTATATTTCCTAATCATCATATAGAATAATTATTTGGAGAAGATGCACATTATAAAATACAAGATTCATGATCAAAAGAACAATAAGAACAATTAATATTTAATAATCATGAATAAAATATGTTAATAGCATTTAATGATGAAAATAAACAATAATCTGAATTTGATTAAAATTATTATAATGAAAATGATTTTAATGCATAAAATTTCAAAGTTTTAAACTCTAGTTATTTTAATGAAGAAAAAAAAATGAAATAAAAGATATAAGTTTGCCATTACATATCGCGAAATATATATATATAACAAAGAACAGATAAGAAATTGAATGAAGGGTTTTGTTTTTCTTTTTTATGTTCATTTATGAATTATGACTAACAGATGTTGAACCTGCTGTTGTTGTTGTCACACTTGTTGGATGATTATCATCAAATGCATCAAGTGTATTTCTTTTAAATTCTTGTAATGTATTACTTAATTTATTAAAATCATCTTGTTTTGGACTTGTTAAAAATTCATTTACACCATATAAACGTAATTTACCTTGATCATCACCTAATATTATTTGTTGACCATTATGTGCCCATGAACATTTATTTAAAGCAACGTTACCATCAAGTGTTGTACTTAATAATGGTAATTCAGAATCATGATTTAAATTCCATATATCAAAACGACCAGTTATATCACATGTTAAAAATACACTTGGATGTACTGGTGACCAACGTACATCAGTAACATAATCACTATTAACTTCAAATGAATTTAATGGTTTAGATTCTTTTAATGACCATAATTTAACACTCCAATCAAATGAAGAAGTTAAAAATAATGATGAAAAATCAGTTGAACCATTGACATTATGACAACTAAGACCTTGAAAAAAAAACAAAAACAAAATTCTTTCTTATTGCAATGACTTTTTCTATTTTCATGTGCAGACAAAAACCAAACCTGTAATTGGACCAAAATGTCCTTCATAACTTTCTTGAATTCCAGCTTTATTTCCATGTCTTGAACCAGAATAAGCTTGACCTTCTTCACTTCCAATAATAAAATTATTAACTTCAACACCTGGAAATACCATTCGTGTTGCTGCCACTGGTTTTGTTCGATAAGCTAAATCCATACTTTCTTGTGGTTGTGTCATCATTTCAATATTCCATGAACACATTTTGCCTTCATTTGATATTGAAATTAAATTATTTGCATTTTGTGTACCAATAACTTGTAAACAATAAACTGGATGTGTATGTGATGATGCTGATAAAGCTGTACGTTGTACAGGTGTTCGTTTATTTGTACGAGTATCCCAAACAACAATTTGACCACTATATGTGCCACCTAACAAAATATTTGGATGAAATTTACTAAATACGCATGATGTTACCCAGGATTGACAATTAAATATATACTAAAATTAAAATAATTAAATAGTTATGAAAAATTTTTGATATTGAACTACTTATAATAAGAATATTTTCATATCAAATCAGAATGAAAAAAGAAACTTTAAAAGTTTTTTAACATGAAATATAAATGTACATAACATAAACTTATTGAGTATAGAAAAGGTTTCGTAGGATATTTTTGATTGAATATTAAAAGAAAATATTGTAGAATTTATATTGAATAGGGAGATATACTCATGATTCACAAATGCACAATTCAAGTAGAGAGCTGTAGATCCTTACAGATCTAGACCCGAGTCTACAAAAATATGACCTCACAGCTCTCTACTTACTTGATCTCATTGACATAGATACAACTAAAACTATTTCATACAGCTGAAGACTTTGATGTTATTGTTGATTTGACAATTTTCAATGATGAATTTTGTTTATTAATTAACTGTTCAATTTTTCTTTTTTATTAACATAAATGCTCTTATCAACTAAGTGAAAATTTTTAACTGACTAAAACATCAAGTGATTGGAAAGTGAAGAATAAGAAATAATTATACGTTGACTTTTTTCCTGAGAGTATCCAATAGGTAGGCAAAACCTTGATACTTCACTTGTTCATGTATACAGAGGATGGCAGATTTTGATGGAAAATAACTCATATCCGAGATAGAATTAGGATTGGTTCTTGTATGGTACTTGATGTACGTTCTCAATAACATCTTTAGATCTTGTATGAAACACAAATTCAATAAGGTCATTTTACTTCCTGTCTTTCACTGTACAAAAAGATATATCAATCCTTTCGATCTGTTGACAAACAGCAGAAATTTTACAAATAGTATTCAAAATTACAAGTACTAATACTTGCTGTATTCGAACACAGTTTTACGTTGAATAGAACCCACACCCAATAGAATGTATATGGCCATTTTGTAGCCTTTATCGAGCCGAATAAAGTAAACTTATTCGACATGGACATATTTCAAATAGCAGAGAAATTATAATAGAAATACTCAAATTTTACCAAAAATACTCGTCTTCGCTCTAGTTCGGATTCATAAATTTAACGTTTATTGAGATTCAGTCCACAAAAACATGAATTCACAGTCTCCTAAATTCAAGACATATCTATAACTCAATGACTTAGACTTTTTAGACTACCATGACAACCAAGGAACTCAAGTAAATGAAGATAAATCAAAAAATTCAAAGAAGAGTGATGTTGTAACTGCCACTGTCGACGATTGTCTTCTCTTCATTCAAGTCAATCAAATTCACAATTACATTAACACTCACATATACTCTTCATTTCCTTGAATGTTATAATAATTAAAAGGTATAGATATTTAAGTTATTTATATCTTTTGAATTCTTTTATTTTCTTTTCGATCATGGGCATTGCTAAAACTTTATGATCGTATTTATTGAAATAAAAAATAAAAGTTAGGCTGCTTTGATTAATGAGATTGTAACAGCTGTTACATTTGTTAAAATGTGTCATTTTTTCTGTTTTTTTTTATAGTATCAAAAATTCTATCATTTAATGTGTTCTTTTTCTTTCTAATTCTTATTGAAAAAGAAAAAGTTATTTATTCTATTGTTGATTTTGTTTCAGTTTTTTTTTAAATTTAAAATCATATGATTCTTACTTCAGGTGTTGGTTTCGATTTAAATTTCGTATTCCAAATAAGTACAACACCATCAGATTCATGTGTTGATTCATCATTTTGTGAATATGATGCAAGAACTAATTCTGGATGATAAGTTGATGTATCAATACATGTGACAATACGATGACGTGTCCAACGTTCATCAAAAAATTCTCGATCAAATTTAATTATTTCTCCAACATCCATTGTTTCTTTTTGTCCATCTAAATCTCTTCCACTATAATCTTTAAATATATCAAATGCTTGTGGACTTTCCCATAATGAACGTTCAATTAAACGTGATGTACGAGAAAAAAAATCTTGAAAATGATCACTTTTTAATATTTGTTCACGTTCATCACTAGTTAATTCTTGTTTCATTAATGATGTTTGACCTTGTAAACTTGATTGTTTATGTTGTTGTTTAAGTGAACGTGTACGTTTTAATTCTGTTGTTGATGCTAATGTCATACCAATAGATCCTTTTGTATTCTCATCTAAACTCATTGTATCATCATCACTAACATAAACAAGACGATTATGTTCACCTGATGTTGAAGGTTGAAATTCATCATCCCATTGTAAATGATCATGTTGAATAGGACTTGCTGTTGGATCTTTTTCACCAGATTCAATTGTTTGAACTTCTTTTGAATATGTAACTAATTCTTTTGGTGGTACACTTACTGTTGCTGATGTTTGTTGACATATTTGTAATGCAATATTTGTTGGTGGCCGACGTTTCTGTTGTGATGATGATGATGTTGTTGCTGGTGATATTGATGGTGAACTTGTTGATAATGATGTTGTTTGATGAATACCAACTTCTTTTAATATTGTATCCGGATCAGTATCTTCTCTTGGCGTTGTTGATGAAGTAACAGCTGGCATTGAAGAAACATTTGGTGTCATTGGTGTTGTTGCAGATGGTTTTGTTAATTTGTCTTGCCGCATTTTTTCCAATTTAGCTCGTTTAGCATCAAGTTCAGCTCTACGTTGTTCAGCCGACATTTTGTTTCTTTTTGTTTTTTTTTCTATTAATACACAAGACCACAACTACGAAATAAAAAATCTGCAAATGAAGAAAAACATATCATATATATATATATATACTACAAGAATATCTATTGGAAAGAAAAAAAACCAACGGCAACAGATGGCTTGACAATATATTTATTGTACTTTTATTCAATAGAAATTGTGAGCATATAATAGTGAGCATAACATCATCTGACTATAGGTGTGAAGGGGGGAGCGGGGTGAGATATTATAAAATAAACTAAAAAAAACACATATTTGAGCATTACAAATACGTCAACACAAAACCGGACTAAAACCTGAGATTGGTTAAATATATAAATGCTATATAAACGATTATTCAAAAAAACGGAAGTAGCATTCTCTCTAGATAAAAAAAAGTTCATATTGCCAATAAAAAATGTGAAAAATACATTTGAGTAAAAATCTATCTGACCACTAATTTTAAAAATAAAAAAAAACGGAAGAAGCTATGCGTGAATAGGTGATCTATAAAAAAAAAGAGAAGACATGCACTGTTATAAAAAAAAAAAAAGAAAAAGACTTCATTTCATTTCATTGAGCGATTGATTGATTCTCCATCTACTAAACGTTCATTCATTTTCGATGAATATTCATCATCATCATCTTCAACTGGAAAACGTGCTTCTTCTTCAATATCAGATTGATTCTCAAGATTATTGTGTATTAATTCATCATCTTCTTCATCTTCATCAATATCTTGATCTTGATCATGATCATCAGTTGATGGTACTTCAGGTATTGAATGTATTAATGGTATTGTTGTTTGCTGTGAATGATAATTTTCATCATTAAATGAATTTTTTTCTGATGATGGAATAAGCATAGGTTGACGATATGCTTGTCGAAGAAGTATTCGTTGATGTTCATCACTTGAACTATTTGTTGTTGTACCATCAAGTGTAAGTGTTGTTGGTTTCTTTTTTGATGGTGGTGCTTTTGTTCGTTGAAAAAAACCAAGCTAAACAAAACAAAAAAACAATAGAATAAAAAATGAAAAATATTAAACTATACTAGAAAACAAAAACACATAAAATACAACGAGCAATTATACCGGCTACAAATTATTAGAACAAAAAAAAAACATTTAGAAAAGAAGAGATGATGGTGGTCGAACACGTTCGAAAAACCCGGCCTAGATAGAAGAAGATGAATTATATGCTTTTTTCTCATTTATTTCTTTTTTTATGGAGAGAAAATGATCAATAAATATTAAACATACCAAACAACAGACAATAACAATGAAAACAAGAAGAATAAGACCAGCCATAGCTCCAACTAATGGAACCCAAAGAGGTAAACGAGGTACAGTAATTTTATCAGATCGATTAGCAAATTCTGCTGGTGTTGTAGCCTTAAAAATAATAAAGAAAAACGATGTTTTATTAATTTCTTTTCCTTCAAAAAAAAAAACAATATATCGACGAGTGGTGCAGTTTAAATAGAACAATATCATTTTCTTTTTTGCATCATTCTGATACACTTTCAGAAAGTCATTCGATAGAGAACTTTTCATGTTGAAGCAAAATTTACAATATGAATGCTTACTCAATCGTTTAGCGACAACTTTCGTTTTTCTGTAGTGAGTCGTTGCTCATGAAGACTAATTCAAAGCGTAATGTAGTTAGTATCAATGGCTAGAGAATTTTGTTATTTCCGCTTCTGCGACGTTTTCAAGATTTCTGATGCTATCGTTCATGGAGAAAAAAAAAAGCTTGGAACTGAAACCTAATGATATTTTCCTACATATGTCTGAAAAAAATATTTTCCAAAGCAAGACGTACGATGGTACTATTTCAACTAACGTCCACCGTTTGAGCTCATATTGGACTCACGGGCTAGTCACAGTGAGACTAGCGAAAGCCTAAAAGTATTCATCTTTATTGGTCTTTGGCATCGAGTTATAGTCAGTTTACTGGATTTTTTTATCTGTTTTTAGATACTCTCCGGAAGATCGAATAACGAAATTTCTATCCAAAATTTCGTTACTCGGTCTTCTGGAGAGTACTTAAAAATAGATCATAACTCGGCGACAAAGGCCAATGGGAACTAATACTTTTAGGCTTTTGCCATTCTTACTGAAACCTACCTATAGTCACAATATAAACTCAATTGATGGATGTCATTCGGAGTATTTCCCTCGCTAGTGTATGAAACTGTCATTGTCGCGCTGTTGGATGTGAAATTTACTTCTTAATAAAATGCTTTGATTGCTAAGTTGAAAAGTACGACCTATTAGATTGCATCGAAATAAAAACAAAGAACAATCACGTGATCCTACCACACAAGGTTTTTCCCCAGTTTCTATTTCATGATTACTCTCGCAAATATGTCTTTTGAAATTCTGAAACATATATTAAAAGCTGCAGAATTTCGTGGCATCCTTGCCATTTCAGAAAACCATTGTAAAAAAAAAATATTACATCATTTTCCGTGTTTGTTTTTTGCTATCGCAGTTGGACAATTGAGTAAGTGTTCATATTTGAAATTTTGCTTCAACAACAAAAATCTTACTTGAAAAACAAATGCAACAATATTGTAGAGGAAAAAAATTTCCTATCAAATGACTTTCTGAGAGTATATCTGAGTGATCAGAAACAAAAAAAAAATTCAATAATATTGTCCCGCTTAATCTGCACCAGTCCATCACTTACTGTCGCATTATCATTATCAGTTGATGTTTGAAATATCAGTAGATCATTAATATGTATTGATGCAAATGATTGTATATCAACACGATCATATGTATCAAAATAATTTTCAATTAATGTACTATTCCATAATCGAGCACGAAGTTTAATAAAATAATAACTTTGTGCTGAAAGACTATTAATATGACAGTATATTGGATAACAACGAACATTTTGATATGTTGGATCACATGTTAATGTTAATGAACGAATAATTGATGGTGATACTGGTGGTGTTATTGTTACTGTTAATGACGTTTTTGGATCAACAACACTTTCAACATTTTGTTCATCACGACGTTGTCGATTATTTGATGATGTTCGATTAAGTAAATCAAGTATACGAACATGATCACGCCATTGTGATAATCGTTCACAATGACCATCAATTTTTGTACCTGTACTAGTTAATGTTGATGAAATTTCAATAATTGGTTCTTCAACAAGATATAATAAAATTTTTCCATTTTCCCATTCAACATCTAATGTTTCATATGGCCAAAAAATTGTTACATTATGTGAACGAACACTATTCGGACCACTATTAATTATCTAAATAATAAACAAAAAACATATTATTAACTTTTTTATATACGAATAAAATATCTTTTCGCTCTAATTTAATGAATTATGTATCAGAAGCAAAATTACGAAAAAAATAAAGAACTTCTCAGTATATTTTTCTTAATATCTTACTGTATAAATATGTGTAACTTCCATTCCAAATTGATCAAGATTTTTAATTGAACTTAATCCAAGAGTTTCTTCACCACTAACTAATATTTGTTCAGGTTCATGTGCTGCACGTAAACTTAAATCAGTTTTTAATAAAACTTTAGCTGTTAATGTAACATTATTATTATCCAAATTTGTTTCATCAGTTAATGTTGTTGAATTAAATTCAAAACGTAAAATATTACTTAATGATACATTTGATAATGTAAATACAAGTTCAGTTATAGAATATTTTTCTGGTGGAAATGGATTATTAAAAAAATCAGTCATTTTACAACGAACATGATTACGATGTATTGGTTGACATGAATAACTTTTATCATCCTATTATGAAAAATAAAAATGAATATAAAATTAAAGAAAAAACAAAAAGTTATTTTCTTATTAACCATAACTGCTTGTGAAAATTGAACGAATGATGTTGGAAAATAAACATCAATTTTTGTTCCAAATGCTGGATCAGCTTTACGACGATTTGGTTCTGATGGTATATTTGATAAATTAAGACGAATACGTATTTCAGAATCAATACCAAGTACCGAAAGATTTAATGCTCTAAACGAAAAAGAATTCAATTAGAATAAAAATAAACAAAACAAAAATATGTTTTAAATAGTTATGTGAAAAAAAGCTTTAGGCGTGAAATCTTACGAATCATTGAAGAGAAATTTGCTTTATAAATGAATATAGATTAATAAACAACAATTAATTTCTTATAAGAAAAAAATTTATAAAATTAAATTCTTACTTTTGTCCATTGATAATTTCAGCTGTTAATTGAAGATCAGTTATACATTTATCATGATTTCCACAACCTTTATAAAAATTTGCCTAAATTTATAATTATCATATTAGTTTTGTCTTTTTTGATATACTAATATAGAATAGATTTTTTTTTTACTTGAAATTTTTTTGTTCGTTCTTCTTCTGTTGCATTAATCATTGGAATGTTTCCTTCAAGAAGAAATGGTTTTCCTCGAAGATCATTTCGATCTTGAGATACATTATAAACAAGTGAAAAATGAATTGGAGTTAAAAAATCATCATTTCCACTCTAAAATTAACAAACAGCAAAAAGAAAAGGTTATCCAGTTTTTATGTTCGTATAGTTTCATATTACAACTTTTAATTAACTATGTTTGTCTTTAAAATAGTTCATGTTCTTGAATATTTCTCAATAAGATATCAAATTTCTCTTTATACTGATACTGTTAAAATCATTGAAAGAAAAAGAAAATGCTTAGTTGATTATTAAAAGAAAGAGAACATGTCTTTGTCTTTATTTTCCGAAGCATAACTTCATCGAATTACGTCATAGAAAAAAGACAATTGTAGATATATTAGGACACTTGATCTCTTGAGTATAGCCTTTGACAGACATTAAGAGAATAGAACTAATCGGAACAACAATTGACTTTGTTGTGATATCAAATTAGATTATCATAATAAGATTTATTCATTTCTTACTCTTGATCATTTTCGTTTAAATGAAAAAGAAAAGACGTTGAATGGATGTGTATAGTTGTT